TTCGTGCCCCGTGGGCCCTCGGTCCGCGTGCTCAGCTGATGCAGACTTTGGCCTGCTGGGGTCTGTGTGTTGTGGATGCGGTACACAAACTCACACAGACTACTGAGTCCTGCGGGGGAAAAAGGGGCGGCACAGCCACTCTTTCAAGGGGATTGCAAACTAAAGAGTCACCAGTTTGATTCCCAATCAGAGTACATGCCTCACTCTCACCCCGACCCTTGCCTGGACAGGCTTTTATTGCTCTCTAGTTGCATTACATCACAGAAGGTTCTCATTATTTCTAGATTTAGTTAGGTGATTACTTCTTACAGATAACAAAAAAAAGAAAAAGAAAAAAATGTTGCACCTGCAAAGGAATGATAAAAATGATTGATTTCATTGCATTTGGTCCTTGGGATGTCTTCACACAGACCTTAGGGAGTTGCTTCAGAGACACACATTGAACATCTGCAGTCTCAACTTGGGGTCAGGGAGTTTTAGAAAAGCAAGTCTCGTAGCAGCCTGGGAACAATGCAGGCCTGACTCCCCACGGGACAGCCCGTCTGCTCGCCTGGCTCCTGTGTGCCACCTCACATTGATCAGCTTTCTGGATCAATCCTGGGCTACATTTGCCGCTGCCTTGCTGATTGGTTCCCTATACTCAGTGCCTGGGCCGTCCTGGCGGCTGGGTATTTTGAAGATCAGGTTTCCTAGCCGTCCTGGGAAGGTCTCTACCGCTGGTTACCCCGGGTCCGATGCTGAGAGGCCTGCGGGATGGAAGGTGGTGGTGCTGAATGGGAACCGTGCGGAGGTGCTGCGTCTCCTCCTGAGGAGGCCTGCTGGTGCCAGGAGGGGACTCTGGAAAGGCACATGAGTGGGTGTACGTGGTTTCTGGGTGGGCGGGAGGCTTGCAGGCGATGCAGGCCGAGTGGGCGGCAGTGGGACCACAGGCAGCGGGGGTGCGGGCCCCAGAAGAGGCAGAGGCTGCAGAGGTCTGCAGGTGAGCCCACACGCTGCCCCAGGTGAGCAGAGTCCTGACCTCCCTTCCGCCCTCAGAAATGGGCCTGCTGTTTCTGGGTCATGAGTCACTTGGCCCGAGTGTGGGTCGTAATTGCCCGGTAAACAGGCATCAGGACACGTGAGGCGATAAGGGCTGATAAGGGGCTGGCTGGCGAGAAGGAGCCCTGGAGGTTTCGCCATCAGGCCGTGTCTTGGCACCGCTGAGTGGCTCCTGTGCAGCCACCGGGCCGCCGGCCCTCCCACCTGCCCCGTCCTGTCCCTGCTCCCAGTAGGGAGCCCTGGCTTTGCCTCCTCCTCATCCTGGACTCCCCTCCCCCTCCTCTCAGCCGGCAGCCCTGGCTGCTGCCCACTTTGAGGCACTTCCTCTGGCCAGCCTCCCTTTTATGACTGTTTATTTAAAAACTGGAGTAAGATCTGCATAACACACAAGTAACCACTTTGAAGTGTACGATTCAGAACTCCCCGTCCGCGGCAGCCCGTCTCAAGGAGCACACACTTAGCTTCAGTTCCTTCCGTTTTTTGTTTTTTGTTTTTAGGTGCATTTCGCATGACGTGCGATGAACCATTTTAGAGTGTGTGGTTCTGGGGCACTGAGTACATTCCCAGTGTTGGGCAACCCCACCTCCGCTTACTGTCCAACGTGAGTCACCCCTAAACAGCACCCCACCCCTGTGAAGTTGGTCACCACTCCCCTACTAATCTGCTGTTCTTGGACTTCTCATTTAAAAGGATCATATTTATTTATTTTTTGAAAGATTTTATTTATTCATTTTTAGAGAGAAAGAAGGGAGGGAGAGAAGGGGAGAAACATCAATGTGTGGTTGCCTGTCATGCGCCCCCTACTGGGGACCTGGCTCGGCACACCAGGCAATGTGCTCTGATTGGGGATCAAACTGGTGACTCTTGAGTTTGCAATCCACGGAGCTACACCAGCCATGTGATTTGCATTCCTTAATGACCACTAATGTTGCACATCTTCTCACGTGCTTATAGGCCATGTGTACCTATATCTTGGGAGAAATGTCTATTAAGTCCTTTGTAATTAAAATTGATTTGTTGTCTTTTTGTTATTGAGTTGTAAGAATTTACACATATTTTTGGATACTAAACTCTCTTCAGATACATGATTTTCAAAGACTTTTACCCCCCATTCTGTACATTGTCTTTTAACCTCATATACCCCAAAGAGGGATCGCTGGTGTTACTGTGATTTTTCAGTTAATTAGTAGTCATTTGAAAAGTTTCCCTCAGTTTTAATTTTGAACACACGAATCAGTAATATAATTGTATGGACCGATACAGCCCATGTACCTGGGTTTTTCTGTGAGTTTTTCTGTTGGGTTCTTAATCATTTTTAAGAGCACAGGTAGAGGGGTCCTGTCACCCCAAGGGTTGGAGGCCTGTGGGTGCAGGGTGGTGGCAGAGCCAGTGAGGCACGGTCACTTGGTTGCAAAGGTAATCAGGACGATGACCGGATGGACCTGGTGACCCTCCGGCAGCGGAGTCAGGGCGACCTCTGGGTTCCTGGCTTGCGCAATGGGCGGGGCGCTGGCTGTGCAGGTGAGGCTGGGACCTGATGAGGTCAGCGTGCTGCAGCCGAGGGCGGTGCGGGCTGCATCCCGGAGGGCACTGCTGGGTGGGAGTCTATCCCCCGCCCCCGCCCTGCTGGGGCTCCAGCTCCCAGCAGTCAGGAGCTCAGGAACCGGGCTGGCGCGAGTTGCCCAGCTTTGCACACAAGCCTCACACACGTCTGGGTGGCACCTTCAAACTGCCGTGACAGCAACAGCCTGGCCCTCCTGCCCCTGCAGCCATCGAGTTCTCCTCGGGGCCACTGTTAGGAAAGAGGCCTTAGCCAGTAAACACAGCGTATGAGCCAGAAGTCGGCGAGGGGGAGGCCAGATGCCAATAGGTTGCACTGCTTGCCACCGTGAACCCACTTACTCCGAAGGACACTGCGGGCCTGGGGCAGTCTCCTCTTGTGGGCAAGAGACAGCCCCGACAGCCAGCCAGCCAGACCAAACAAGCCTAGAGGCCAGCCACGCTGACCCCCTCTGCCCACGAATGGGCTCTTTCCTCTCTCTGAGCCGCAGCCGCTGGTTCCCGCAGAAGAGGCAGGAGACCGGTGCCGACGCCACAGGAAAAATCAGGAGCACCGAGCCTGTCTTTAGTGAAAATTTTGACAATTTGTTCATGGTAGATTTTTACATTAATGTTGAATTTATAAAAATCATTGCATTAGGCCCTGGACTGAGTGGCTCAGTTGGTTGGAGCGTCCTCTTGTACACCAAAGGGTTTCGGCATTGGCGGGAGTGTATTGGAGGCAACCAATCAATGCTTCTCTCCCTCTCTCTCCCCCTTCCTCTCTCTTTAAAGTAAAAAAATGTGGCCCCAGGTGAGGATTTAAAAAGATTAACACCCTAGGAGGTTATTGTCATTAATACCGTGGGAGTGATGTTCTGGGAATTCTGAGGACTTGCAGCTTCCGCCTGAGCCTCTGGCAAGGCCACCCCTGGAGGAGGCGCTAATGCCCAGGCCACCACACACCAGTTCTTGGTCCACAGCCCCGGCTCCGCCCACCCGACGGCAACTTCCGTCCACGTGGAGTTCCAGCTTGGGCACCGGGTCCAGTTGGGCTTCAGATGACCCCAGCTCCAGCCGCTGTGTGACCTAAACTCATGAGAGACCCCAACCAAGATCTGGCAGCTGGGGCCCGTCGACACAACGAACTGTGAGAGGTAATCATCATCATCTTTAAAAAAAAAAACAAAACCCAGCTTAATTATTTTTAGAGAGAGGGGAAGGTAGGGAGAAAGAAGAGAGAAACATCAGTGTGTGGTTGCCTCTTGTGCACCCCCTACTGGGGAACTGGCCCACAACCCAGGCACATGCTCTGACTGGGAATTGAACTGGTGACCCTTTGGTTCACAGGCTGGCGCTCAATCCACTGAGCCACACTAAACAGGGCTAGTAGTCATCATCCGAAGCCATTAGGTTCTGGTGTGATTCTTCCCTGCTATGACAGATAAGCAACACCAGCCAGCTCCCTCATGAGACTGCGCATCCCCACACAGCAGGAATTGTGTGCTTGTCACTCTGGATCTCCAGCCCCAACCCAGGGACCAAGTGCTCATTCCGTGTCCCTCAAGCGAAGGAATGAAATCCATCAAAACCCACTGTTCACCCTGAGATAGAATAGATTTATTAGCAAGAGGTAATCAGGAAACATATATTGTTACAAAAATGGAAACTCCTTTTTTTTTTTCTCCAAACAAGCTGTAAGTGGAAATAGTCTGGGACTGGAAATAGAATTCTCATACCACTAGGTATTGCTGACGGCGGAAGAGGTCCACGTGGGGGTGGAGCATGCCTGCCACCCCGGAGCTAACCTGCGTCGCCGGGGCTGTACAGTGTAAAAAATAGGCATGGTATTCACAGAGTAAGCACTACCGCACTACCTTCCCGCTAGGGGGCGTGTGGACAGGACGACAGTGAGTGCAGTACAAACACGCGGCGGGGCGGTGGGTGTCCTAAATTCTACAGTGTGGCGCTGTGTTCACGAGGCATAGCATCTCAACGTAAGCTGGGAGGGCCGTCAGGCGTCGGAAAGAGGGGACGTGACCTCGGTTTGTGTTCCCGACTTGCAGTGGACGCAGGGCAGCGGTCGGCAGGGGTCGACTTGGTGTGGCGATTCCGTTGTCCTTGGCGCCTTCCGGGAGCCTCGTCGGGTGCGATGGACCGAGACGCTGCTGCTGGCGCAGCCGATGTGCTGTCAGTCACGCAGCGAGGAGGGCGTGGTGTCCCGACGCCCGCCCCCAGGCTGGGGCTGGGGGCGCAGCATTAGCGCGGTTGTCCGAGGAGAGGAATCCGTTCCGGCCCGGTGGGTGCCCGGGGGACGGGGGAGCTCTGAGACCTGCGACCTTGGCTGGCAAAGCTGCTTTGGGAACTGGCAGGACGTCAGGGTGTGTGGCTCCCCCTCCCGCCTCCCCCACCCCCCACCCAGTTTTAACGACTAATGGGACATGCTGGGAGGGAGGCCACTCAGCCCAGAGCCTGGGCTGGGGGAGGACAGAAGCAGGACTTTTCCTAAGAGTCGTGGATGCACGGTTCTGCGTGCCCTTCGGGAAGAGCGAGGGGCGGGGCGGAGAGACGAGGAGACAGTGTCAGGAAACAGGCGCGGAGGGAGATGGGGGTGTGTTTGCACGACGTCAGGACGTCAGGACCGGCACGGAGAGTCCTAGTCTGGCTCTACGGGAGTCTAAGAACAAGAGTGGGTTTGTGTTCTTGGAGAAGCACGTACTAAAGAAGGAAATCCAGAGAAACCAAACGACTATGTACAGAATCCTACAGCGTGTCTCTGGGGAGCGGTGGGTTCTGGGAGGGCCAGCTTCAGGTGGGCAGCTTGGGTTCTAGCCGGAGAGAAGACTCGTAGAGGCTTTCCTCGTCCATCACAAAAGACTGGTCCAGTAAATACTGGGTCACCTGAGAGAGCAGGACAGAGAACGGAATGGCAGGGTCACAGGACCCCGCCCCCCCACCTGCTCTGACTGCAGACACGGGGGTCTCCCGGGAACCGGCATGCTTGGGGGGGGCGCATGTGGTAACAGTGGAGAAAGCAGTGTTTTGCCAACATAGCAATAGCTGTCCTGTGTGCGTGACTCAAAACGATACCTATTTTTTGGGTCAGATTGGCAAAGAATGCAATATATTTTGTGGTGTGCTGCAGAACTCCAGTAATGAGTTTGTGGCAGTGAGACGGAAGAGGATGGGAATCGCTGGGTTAGGCCACGGCATTTTCTTCTCTCCCGTGGCTCTCAGATGTGAACCAGGTTCCGGTCACAGCGTGCGGGGTTGAGAGGGCGCCTCTGGTGGGGCGGTTGTGCAAAGGCACCATGACCCTGCAGTCCCACCGGCTTACCTTTGCTTGGTGCTCTATTTTGTAGGCAGTTTGTTGAAACTGGCGAATCTCCCGGATAATGTGGGATATCTGTGGGGAGGAAGGGAGTTCTGGGTAAAGACAGGTTCCTCTCGGCTCCAGCAGCCCACTCTGCAGGACACAAGGGCGGCAGCCTGCTTCCCAGAGGCACCCAGGCCCCCGCAGAGGTGAAAGGCAGCCGTGCACCCCGGGTGCCTACTGGGGCCAGCACGGGGCTCCCACCCTGTGTTTGCCGCAGAAGTGCCATCTGTTACAGGAGACAGGTGGGAAGTCGGGACAAGCAGAGGCTCCACAGCTGAAGGGAGGAGGGGCCGGGGCGGCGAGAAGCCAGGCTTGCAGTGGGTGTGAACAGAAGCCTGGGCTTTGGAGGCAGCCGGGTGGGGCTCTGGCCCAGGCTCTGAGGGGTGATGGGGAGAGGGTGGGGGCGGTCCTGGCCTTCCAGCCTGCCCCTCAGATAGATGGCGGGCATCACAGGAGAAGGAGCAGCAAGGCTGGCTCTGGGGGCCAGAGCGACCGTTCTCCCCTGAGAGGCTGGATTCCAGCTCCCACATGGGCGCGCCCCTCCCTGGTCTGGGGGCCCCCACCCTGCCCTGCCGTGGGAAACGCACCATTCTCATCTTGGAGAAGTTGACCAGGCCATCCTCCGTGTAGTTGGGTGTCCCCTCCTCGATGAAGGCCAGGTCGGTGAGGTACATGCCCAGGTAAGGGACGCAGGGCGGGTCGCAGCTTGGGAGCAAACGGCAGGAACGACAGTTTTCACTGAAAACCGGGAGCCTGTCCCAGCACACCACCCCCGTCCCCTCTCCTCTCTGTCCTGCCATGGACGCTGTCCACCCAGACCTGCCCTGGAATCGTGTGCCCGAGGGCTCTGCAGTGCCCACCCGGTTCCTGCTGTCTCCTTCTGCCCTGTGGGCGTCATCTGCCACCCAGTGCTGGGGTGGGGGCCGAGCAGGAGCCCCTGCCCTCTGAGATCACCTGCCTGATGTGGCTGCTGGGTGGCAGCTTCCTTGACTGGCGACTCTAGGGAACCTCATTTCTGGGAGACGGAACTGCGAAGCCGGATGGCCATGCCTCTCCCATTGGGGCTCCATCGCGACCTTTCTCTAGTGCCTCTGGCTGGGGAGCTGCTAAAGGGCTGACTCTGGGGTGGGTGTGTACAGCCCCCTTGGGGGCTCCTCACACGGGTCTCTGCAGCCTCCTCGCAGGCGTACAGTGTGCCCACATTGCTAGCTCGTCTCACCTGGGTCTCCTGTGGCTGCTGGCCCTCACCTGCTTGCTGTGTGACCCCAGGCCTGTCCTTGCCCTCTCTGGTCCTCATGTCTCCTTTGTACGCTAGAACTGAGGCTCAGACAATTTTCGGAGGTCTGACACTGGATTTTAGGGGGTACCCAGATGCGGCATTAAATAACCTCGATTCCTATGGCGGAAACACTGGGTCTCAACCTGCCCTGTGCTAAGGACTCCGCAGGGCAGTCTGGCTTTGCCACTTTGCCGCTTCCCAGCGCTTGGCATTCTCTGCGCTGCCCGTTCTTCTTTCTGAACAAATACCAACAGGTCTCAGGACCGGAATGTTGCCCACGGCAGGATCCGGCCAGAACTAAACAACGTTCTGTTTCCACTGTATTTTTCTATGGTAATGCTGTATCTGCAAACCATAGGCTCGTTTCCTGTTGAAACAGGAAGCGTTCTTTCCTGTTGAAGTTTATTTTGGGGAAAGAGTGAGTCCGTGTAAAGGAAGCTGCTAAGTCAACCCCGGTGCTGTGGGTTCTGTCCCGGTTGTGAGGAGCAGCCTCGGAGTTTGGGGAGCGGCGGCGGCCCCGGTGACTTTTCTGAACAGCACCATTTATGGGTGTCGAACTACGGTAGCTGGTGTTGACCAGGTTAAAAACATTTTTTTTTCTTAAAGAGGTAGAATCGAAGAGAAAATATCTGAGGTCATTGTGGCGTGGACAGGAGGAATGGGCTGCTTTGTGAGATTTCTGTTCCCATCACGCACCCGTGCATTTTTATACAGGGTCATGCTGTTGAATAGAATTATTTAACTGTGGATTTTGACAAAAAAAAATTAAAAAGCAAGGGTCACGCAGGTCGTGGGCAGGCCTGGCTTTCACTTCCTGTCTTACTGTGCTGGGACCCACAGACGTGTGCGTCCGACAGACACAGCTCACGGACCGGAGAGGGAGCCATGGGGGGAGGGCGGGCTACAGCAGGAGTGACCCCGCCGCCCCCCCATGCCTGTGGGGGGTAGCCCCAACCAGCACCCTGGAGGGCTCCTGGGACCCCTTACCCCCGGGGGACTGAGCGTGCCTGAAGGCTCCAGGGTCTCTCACCGCCCAGACCAGGGGAAACCTCAGGGGGTCGTCTGGTTTTCGTGACTGTTTCTTCCTGTCCAGCCGCTAACTCGGTCCCTGCTGGCCACCTTCAGAGTGAGGGGCCTCCTGAGGGGCCTAGGGAACAGCACGCCTGGCGCACACACACACACACACACACACACCTGCCCAATCGAACCCAAAGCCACGCCGGTGCGCACGGTTGCCATGGCAGCAGCCAGCCCTGGCACGGGGCGGTGTGGGGCAGAGAGGGCTGGCCGAGGGCCCCTAAAGGCTGCCACGGCAGGGGACTGACCAACCCACCCTGAGCCCCTGCAGGAAAGGGTTGCAGAGGGAGGCCTCCTGTGGGCACAGCGCCCTCTGCTTGGTGCCTCCGTGTGGGTGGGTCTCAGGGGTGGGGTGGGGTGGGCAGGCAGCCTGGGGTGAGCCCTGATACGGGGTGGCTTCCTCCTCTGGCAGACCCCTCGCATGCCTGGACCCAACATTTCAGGGAGCAGAGAAGTGCCCACCCCATTCTAGAGGCTGCACTGGTTTTTGGGGGGCCTCGCCCGTGCTGTTTGGAGACCCTAAATGTCAAGTTTCTCTCTCCTGAGAAGTTCCTGGTGAGGCCTGAGCAGCGCCCACCCTTGCGAACCCCAGGACCCGGGACAGCAGGCAGGGCCTGTTTCCATGCCTTCCCTTGGCTCTGCCCCAGCTGCCGGGTGGGCCGCTGTCCCCCCCAAGTCCCCGGAGCGGGTGGGGGTGTCCTCTCCCTCTCAGGGGGCGCTGGGGCTGGGCAGTGGTGGCCGAAACCCCTGCCGCCAGGCCCCAAGATTCTGGTGCTTGTGGCAGGAAAATTAGGTGCTCAGGTTTTGAGGAAAAAAAAAAAAAGACTGTGAGTCCACAGCGGAGAGGGGCTCAGGGCCCTGTCTTACTTTCACCACCCGGACGCTAACTGACCGACCAGCTGTCTCATTAGCAGAGGACTGGCGGGGGTGTGGGGGGAGGGCCTGTGCCCCACGGAGTCTCCTCCCTGGCTGTTCCCCATTCTGAATTCAGGGGACAAAGGGGCGTGGCTTCCCTCGCCGCAGCCGCAGCCTGCCTCCCTGGCCTCTCAGTCAACCATTTCTTACTCATACTGAAAAGAGTGCAGATAAAAAAAATTTAAAAAAATTTTAAAAAGTGCAGATACGCAAATATGCGCTGGGTTGAACTTGAAATTCAGGCACATCTGGAACCAGCCCCAAAAGGGCCGGGGACCAACTTTTACGGCCAAATGTAGCTCTCAGCCAGACTTTGTGGCACGGGCTGGTGGGAAGTCCTCAGGCGGAGAGGAGGGGACAGCGTCATGGGGAGTGAGGAGAGAAGATGAGGTGCCTCTCGGGCTCCGGGTGGGGGCTGCGGGAGGTGTTTAAAAGAGGGGGTAGGGGAGAGAGGGAGGGAAGACGTGGGGTGCAGCCTTGGCTGGTAAAGGCAGTAAGACTGTTCTGCAGCCCGGGTGCAGCTGCAAGGCTGACGGTTGTAGGACGGCCGACAAGGGGCTGCGACAGAGGAACGGGGCACGGGAACCCCTTTCTGGGCGGGGCGCAGCCGTGCCTCGCCCCCTGTGCCCGCTGTGCCCCGCCTGCTGGGCCACGCCAGTGCCCACAGCGCACGCTCTCCGCGATAATGCTTCGGGTGCAGGAGCGCTGGCCCCAAGTGCCCCGGCCTCTCTCTCCCTCCTCTGCTCCGCTGGGCCGAGGTCTCTGCGAGGCGAGAACCCTCGGCTCGCGGTCTCAGCCCCCAGGGCGAGAGCCCGCAGGCCTCGTCAGTCCCGCGCGGCAGGGACAGGCGTCAGGGAGAGGCACTTACACGGGCCCGCGGGTGCCCTGAGGGAGGGAGGACAGTCAGGATGGGGACTCAGACAGAATGGGGCCACGGAGGCCGTGGCGGCGGTGGTGGTGGCGGCGGCGCGGACGAGGAAGCAGATGGAGGCGCCCGGGGGCGGACGGACAGGTGGTGAATGCACAAGCACAGTCCGCGGGGCTGCGGCAGCCCGGGCAGGGGAGAGACGCCGACAGCACAGATGGGTGCAACATCTGTCTGAGGACACAAACAGAGTGGAGGTGGTCAAGGCCATGGACACGGAGCCGGCAGGGGGCAGACCAGGCGCGCGGGAGGGCGCGGGAGGGGCGCAGGAGGCGGGCAGGGGCGTGGTGCGTCAGCGCCGCTGTGCGGGCGAGCGGGAGGGCGGGCGGGCGGAGCGCGGACGGGTCCCTCTCCAGGCCCTGTATGGGCAGGGGTCCCTAGAGAGACAGGATCCAAGGTCCCCCGTGTCTGCGTGGCCAGAGGGGCGGGGACCGTGGGGCGCGTGTTCACGTGCCCCACACTCTTGGACATGTTTGGAGACTTTTCTGGTCCTCATCACGCAGGGCGGGGACACCCTTGTGGGTGGAGTCTGGGGATCGACTCCACATCCTACGGGGCACAGGATGGTTCCCACCACAAGGAGCGGCCTGGCCTGAGCGCCTAGGGCCCAGGGTCGGAGGAGCAGCGGTGCAGGCAGGCTGCACGCTGGGGCTGGGCTCGGGGAGGGGACCTCTCTGTGGGCTGCGAGGGGCAGTGACGGGGGGTGGGGGGGAGCCTCCTTCCTTTGATTCTAAAAGGCCATTGTCTGTGAAGACACTTTCGTTTTGATGATTGATTCCCAAGGAAAAGAAGTAAAGACAACCCCATTAAATAGACACTTTGACTTTAAACAGCTATCCCCCCGTGTCAGAAATAGTAAAATGCCCACAAACATGCGTTTTAGAATCAAGGAACCGGGTGCTCGAGGTCCATCAGCACAGCTGCTGGGCCTCCGGGGGCTCCCGTGTGCTTCCCGCGCCCATCCCGGGAGGGAGACGACGGAGACTCCGCATCTCTTGGGCAGACGACGGAGCACAGAGCTGCCCCGCCCTGGGGGATCCGGGGCGTCTAGGGGGAGCCTTGGGGGGAGACAGACGGACACACACACAGACAGACCTCCTGCTCCAGCCAGATGGGGGTGTGGATGCGGTTCTTACAAGGTGAAAACGGACGGCGACAGAACGACACACTTACTTTTTCAGAGCCTCTCTCAGATTCTTAAATCTGCCCTCCGAGGACACAAGCTTTTGGAGCTTATCAATCAGAGCTTTGGTCTGGAAGGAGTTAGAAGCGTTTACTAGCACACGGCCCTGGCACCACGGGGTTCCCCGGCTGGGCGGGCGGTTCAGGCCACTTCCTGGGTGTGGGAGCCTTGACCCCAGACTCCCAAGGGTCCCGGCTTTGACCGACCACGCTCACCCACGTGTGCTCCGCAGACACAGGAGGGAGGAGTGGGGGCCTGCATTTGGGGGGTCCCGAGACCCGGTGACTGAGGAGGACGTGATGGGTCGCCCCTGGGAGCCGTGCCCAGACCAGAGAGTGGTGGGGGATTCATGGTCACGGTCCTGCTCAGGAAATGCGCCAGAGGGCGCCACGGTCTTCTCCCACCGGCACCGACCTACGTCAGGACTCCGCCCACATTTAGGAGTCCAGAGAAGAGATGCCGACAAAAGTCGTTGGTGCCTTTGGAGGCCACCCCGTCCAGCCCCCCAGCAGACATGCAGGCTGGGGCACCCGCCAAGGGTCCCAGGAAGTGGCCCAAGTCTCCCACTGGGCCCTCCTTTCGGAGGAACTGCCCCCTGGGGCCCCCTGTGCAGGGAACTTCCTTCCCCAGGCAGAATGCTCCTGCCGTTTTTCAGAATCGTGTTTTCAGTGAATGAAGATCGAGCTGCTGTTTGGGATCCCCAGCCACCCAATGGGGAGCGGCCACCGGCTGATGCTGTGGTGGACAGAGGTCTGGGGAGATCAGAGTCCAGGGCAGGGGCTGGCAGGGTTCCCTGACCACCGTCTCAGCCGCCTGCAGGTCCGGGAGGGGTGGCCAAGGCCAACAGCAGAGTGCTTGGACCAGCACCCTTCCCACTCCGGACTGTTAATCATCCAAGTGGGAATCTCAGACCCATGGGTCCCAGGCGCTATAGGGAGAAGAGGAGTCCCGCCGCGCCCGGGCAAGCCAGGCCTCACCCTGTCCTCTGCTGCCTGTGATTGCCCAGGGCCCCAGCGCGCCGGACTCCCTGCCCCGCTGCCCAGCCGCAGCAGAGGGCCCCGCCAGCGTCCTGCCCACACCTGCTTAGAGACTTTGAGCCACGTCTTTTTCAGCCGGAAGATGGCGCTGCGGTTCATGGAGGACGTGATCTCCAGCACCGCGTTGTAGTTGTGCAGGCAGCGGCAGATGTCGGCCACCGCCACCCACTTCTCGATGGCGCTCACCCTCGCGCCGATGTCCTCGCTGCGGATGATTTCCGAAGCGATCAGGTTACTGATCTTTGAGCCCAGGCGATGAGACAAGAGAAAGATAAGAGGAGTTAAGTATTGCAAAAGTGACTGGTCGCCGTTATTTGCAGGTGAGCCGATCCCGTGTTTGAAAATCCCCCAAGAGCCCCGGCTGGTGTGGCTCAGTGGATTGAACACTGGCCTGCGAACCAAAGGGTCGCCGGTGGGCCAGGTGCCCAGTAGGGGGCACGCGAGAGGCAAACACACACTGATGTTTCCCTCTCTCCTTCCCTTCCCCTCTGCCTAAAAATAAATAAAATCTTTTAAAAATCGTCTTAAAAAAAAAGAAAATTCTGGAAGAATGCTTAGGAAAAACTAACTGAGCTTGTCAGGGTGGCCGGTTAAGGACTCAGCGCACAAAAATAAAAAGCTTGTCTCTGTATTAGGCATACCATTTAGAAAACACAACGAGAAATATTAACTTCAAAATGCCAGCAGGAATCTGTAAATTACTGAGGATTTATGTAGGATGGTATATGAAAAAGAAATGAAACAAAAAATCAGTTGCCGAAAGTTATCAAAAGTTTGAATAGTGAAGAAAATGATCACACTCCCAAAGGGAAATGGAAAGATGCCATTTTTTTCCACAGCAGTCCATGACAAGCAGCACCCTAAACGGGGAAGCAGCGGACGCGTCCTCTCTAAACCGGGAACCAGATTCGCTGTCGCCCCTTCCCAGTGAACGCTGTCTCAGGGGCCCGGACTCCAGGGGCCCGCGGGCAGGAGCCGGCCCCGGGAGGGGCGGCTTTTTAGCCTCTGCGCGCCGGGCGCCTGCTTGCCTCGCCCCAGTTCTGACCCTGACACTGGAGGTCCCCGCCGGTCCATTCGGGAAGACAAAGAGCTGAGAGCCGAAGGGGTGGGGAAATGGGCAGAAGAGCCGCGCGGGACGATGAGGGAGCCCGGTTCCAGGAGAGAAGCGGAGGGATTCTGCAGAGACAGCGCAGCGCCTGCACGTGGAGGGCGCGCCTGCTGGGGATGGAGGCGAACCCCCTGCACCGCAGCTTCTTCACCCACAGGGGCGCGCGCACACCGGGAGCAAATGCGGGGCTGCCCGGTGGCGCGGCGTGAACCCTCAACAAACGCTCACTCCCTGCTCTTGTCTTTACTGACTGGAGTCCTGCGCACACCGTGGGCCGTGGGACGGGCAGGGAGAGCCGGCCTGCGGCTGCCTGGGGCTGTTGCTGCGCCCAGCGTCTGGACGTGGCGAGACTCGGGCCTCCTGCCTGTGTCCTGGGGACTTGCCCACCGCCGCTGGCTCCTGCAAGTCAGGGGTGCTGGGTCCTCCTTGTTCCCTCCCAGGACCGGTGCGTGTGGAAGCGGGAAGGGGCATCCCGGGGTTGGGGGTCAGGACAGGTGAGTCCTGTGCTCCTATCGGAGGCTAAGAGGAATGGAGGGGCGGGCGCCCTCCAGCGGTCAGGGGGCCTGAGTGTTTTTTTTACAGCCCGGGCTGTGCAGCCGTGGGGGTGCCCTCTGCTCCCCGACAGGGGCGAGGACCTCTCAGCCCTGTGTGCCCCTTGGGGCCCTGGTTTCCTGCAACATGGTACCTGCCCCCTCTTCCGGGACTGGGAGGTTTGAACGAGCTACATGTACAGCCCGGTGCTGGGCCACAGGCGGACTAAGTGAAGGGGTCCTTCTTACTGGTGCCAAAGACCAGACAGGGAGTGGGTGTGATCACCCCTCAGAAGACTGGCTCCCCGTTCTCTGCTGTCCCTGTTTCCCGAGGCAGGTTCTGGGAGCAGGGTGTGGGGGTCGCGCCCAGTCCTACCGCCCCCTCACCAGTGAGTCCTGCCTTCCCGGTGGGGGTCCAGGAGGAGGCAGACCCTAGGCCATGTGGACCCCCTCGAGCCCTGGGCTCAAACCTAGCCTCATCTCCCTCCCCAACAGGCAAAGGCAGGAAAGGGGGGTCGGAGCTTCACTTCCAGGCACAGGGGTGGAAACTTCAGGAACTTCAGGGGCTTTCTGCGTCATGCAGTGTTAAGAGGGAAGTGTGACATTTTGCAGCCTAGTGTGCTTGCCTCTGATAACACGATGAGGTTGAAAATGAGGAGCACAGTGTGGGGTACCCCTTCCTGTCTCCCCAGCTCCTTCCTTTGGACTCTCCAGGAGGCTGCTCTGAGGAGCACCCCCTCCCCCAGGAATCCCAGCACCCTCCTGGGGCCAGCCCCCTCGATAGGGGGAGAAACTGAGGCTGAGACAAAGCGGGACAAAGCCACAGCCCAAGACCCCCGGCGAGGGCCTCAGGGTTCTGCCGAGGAGACCGCGGCGGTCACTCACGTCGTTGAAGTGCTTGGTGGTTTTCATGATGTAAGGGGTCCGCTCGTTCTTCTCCAGCTTCATCCAGCCTTGCCCAAAGAACTCCCTGCAGGAAGGGGGGGGCACCCGGGCAGGCACTGTGAGGTGGCTTCGCCTTGGAGGGTGTCATTTCTGGGGGCGGGGCTTCCTGCAGGGTGGGAGTGGGGAGGACCAGGTACCCACGCCCACTCACTCGTAAGGGATCTTCCGGAAGACCAGGTGGTCCAGCAGCGTCAGCTGCTCCGCGATCTCCAGCGCCGAGTGGTTTTCAAAGGGCTCGGCCTTCACGCCTGCGGCCTGGGGGCAGCAGAGTCTGCGTTAGGGCCACCTCCCCAAGTTCTGGCCACTTTGGGTGGGGGGCGGGTGGACAGGTGTGACCAGGTGAGCCAGGGCCCCTCCTGGCAGACCCGGTGGGAGATGAGCACAGGGCACAGAGGCCACTGGAGCCACCGTGGCCTGGCCCCTCTCGGGCTGCAGGCCTGTGCCTGGCGCGGACCCATCTGGTCATCACTCGTCCTGCCAGGGAGCTGCCGTCACCCCCAGCACGCGAGTGTGACAACAGGTGCCCGGAGGTGAGTGACAGCCACATGTCGGTAGGCCCTGTCTGTGCCCGAAGCAGGCTCTGCAAACTTCAACAGCCGATGTGGACTCACAGGTGTGACTGCCCCCAGGACAGCCAACTGGCCAGTGTCCCAGGGTCACCGTGTGCCTGGTCACTGGGCTGCCTGTGGGAGGACATGACCCGAGTTCCGTGACAGGGGGAAATCTTCAGGAAACACTAGTCAGGGCCCCGAGGTCCCTGCACCAGGTGAGCACAGGGAGACCGGGGTCCCTGGCTCAGAGGCCCCGGGAGGGGTCACAGGAAGCTGGAGAAAAGGGGGACAGGGACGACTGTGCCAGTCTGGGACAGGTCCGAGTCCACTGGGGACATGTCGGGAACAAGTATGGGTGTGGGGATTCGATGCCATGGGGCGGGGGGTGCAGAGGCTAGTGGACAGCTTCCTCCACCTTTTGTGAGGCTTTCTTTCCTTTTTTTTTTTTTTAAAGCTTTTATTTATTTAGAGAGGAGAAGAGAGGGAGAAAGAGAGGGAGAGAAACATCAATGTGTGGTTGCCTTTTGCACGCCCCCTACTGGGGACCTGGCCCACAACCCAGGCATGTGCCCTGACTGGGAATCGAACCTGTGACCTTTTGGTCCACAGGCTGGTGCTCAATCCATGGAGCCACACCAGCCAGGGCTTTTGAGGGGCTTTCGAAACCCCTCCCAGCAAGCGCTGCTTTGAGGCCCCCGGGGCCTTCTCTGCACTGGGCGTCCCCCACCCAGGCTCTCAGCCAGCAGCCCAGTGGCACTTTGTGGGGAAGAGTGTCTGGCTGTCGTGGAGCCAGAGGCCCAGGTGCTGGTGCTGGGTAAGCACGTCAGCCAGGCCCTGCTGGGGACCTGTGGGGCTGCGCCCCTGAGGGAGGCTGGTGGACAGACTTCTGCCCGGGCTCTGTCCCAGAGGGTCAGCCTGCAGGAAGCGGTACCTGCACAACCTCCTTCCGGTCCAGAGCGGAGGTGGGAGGGGACAAGGGTGGAAAGAAGGGGAAGGGACTAGACAAAGAACACGTATGAGTGGCCTGTGGACATGGACAATGGGGTGGGGATTGACTGTGGGAGCTGATGGGGGGTGGGGTGGGCGCAGGTGGGCTCTGGGCACCAGCCCTGCAGAGCTGCCCCTGTGGCAGGGCCTGGCAGAGGTGAGTGTGCTCTCTGAGGGTGTCTGGGGTGGGGGCAGGAGTCCTGGGAGCCAGTGAGGGGGAGGACCAGCTTGGCTCACCATCTGCATGACCTCCTCCAGCGTGATCTGATTGTCCCCCGGGTCCTCCTGCGTCAGAGTCCTGGGGACAGGAAGCACAGTGAGACCATGCACCCTGTATCCCACCTCCCCTCCTGACTGGCTGAGGTCCTCTCCTGAGCTCCCCATGCCTGCATCTGGCTCCCCCTGACAGCAGGGTGACAGGAACAGTGGAGGCTGGGAGTCAGGCGGAGTGGGGGGACAGGCGGGAGAACCCCGTGGCCTGCTCCGCCCTGCACCCCGGGAGGGTGAGGAGGGACCCTGGGGGCCAGGCTGACTGTGTGTGGAAGTGCGTGCAGTGGGGTGAGTGCTGAAGAGGTCAGAAGCCTGGAAGAGGTTCCAGGACCCTGAACTTGGAGCACAGACAGGGCTGAGGCCTGTCTTTGGGAAGCTGGAGGAAGGCTGGCAAGTTTGGCTGAGGATCTGAGTCCGAGACGGCCACTCTGGGCCTGAGAGGGGCGGCTAGGGCCAGGCCAGACCCCGAGCCCCGGCCCCTGTACCTGAGCCAGCCCTGGGCAGATGGTGGGCTGGTGCCTGGCTCCCACTGAGCCCCACAAAGAGGTGGCAGCGGATCTCCCCCCACCTCCCTGCAGCCCGGGAATCCGAACTGTTTGCTGTATATGGAGGAAAGTCCACTCAGACGCAGCTGCCTGACCCCTGACCTGCGCCCAGAGGGGCCGTCAGGGAAGGAGGAGGAGTGCAGATTTGGGGACAGTTCCATTGAATTCAGCTCCATGGGCATCCCCCAAGCCCCTGCACACGGGCCAGCAGTGCCGCCTGGGAACCCGCCACGGTGACAGAGTTCTTCACCTGTGCGCCCCGTGTGGAGCCGCCAGCCACGTGGGGCTACGTGGCTGAGGAACTGAGAGCGGCACTTGACTGAGCTTTGCCGGGTTAAGACTTCGAGGCCCTACTGTCTGTTCAAGCTCATGGAGGGGGCAGCTGGGGGCTGCCCTTAGGACAGCCGGACAGATGGGGGTTAGCCTCCCTGGGCGAGGACGGCAGGATCTGCCCCACCTGACGATGTTGCCCGCGGCCTTCCGCTCCTGCGACAGGAGCTCCGGGTCGCGCATGACCTCCTCCAGGAAACCAATCACCTTGCGCTTGAGCTTCTTGTTGCTCTCAAAGTCCTGCGGGAGGAGGGGATGGTGGCCGAGCACAGGACACCCTGTTCGAGCTGCCCGAAGGCGACCCGACTCAGGCCAGGGGAGGGAGCTGCGGTTCCCGGATTTGCCCATGGAGACCGTCCCCTCATTTTCTTTCCTCCGGTTCCTGGCAGGGCCCCCGTGCGCCCCCGGGGCCTCCCGGTGGAAGGCGCGCTGCTCTGCTGGCCGTGCCTGAGAGCCAGGGCCTCGCCCGGGGCCCTGGGGGGTGCGAACCTACCTCGCACAGGGACAGACAGAAGCCCCTGTCCCCCGAATGTCCTCGGTGCCCCCTTAGGGGGTGTGAGGCTCTTCGCCGCCCCCCGCCGCCCCGCCCCTTCCTCCCGCCGCCCCTCCCCCACGCCTGTCTGCCGGCACCCACCTGCGAGTGCTTGGACACCCAGTGCCGGAGCACATTCAGGACTCGGTTGGTGGCCGCTCTGCGGATCACGAACTCCTTGTCTCCGTTCCTCTGGTCGGAGGGAAACCCTGTTGGCAGAGGGGACAGAGGGGGCAGAGGGTCATGAAGACAAGGAGCAGAGCTGGACCCACCTCCATTCAAACCCGGGGGGGGGGCGGGGGCTGGGCTGCCGCTCACGTCTGTCATCCTGGAGGACAGAGTCCACCCTCCCAGCCCCAGACCCCTTGGGCGCCCTGCTTGTCTCTGCTGACAGATCCGGGCTGCACCCCCCGGACTGGCGGCCCCTGGGGTCCTCGCTCCGGGACCTGTGTGTGCAGCGGATTCCCTCCGGGTACAAGCAGGAAGGGGCCTCCGGGCCGCAGGGGGCAGCGTCCAAGGCCTCACAGGACCCTGGCGCCCTGGCGGCCCGGCCGACCTCCAGGAGGCCGCGAGCCGAGCCCCCCTCGCACCTGCGGTGGCCAAGGACATCCTCCGGTACTTCTCCTTGCTCGGGGTGCCCTCGTTGGCGCCCGCGGTCGCGATGGCGAAGGCGGAGGCTGCGGACAGGCTGTTGCGGCTGTTCTCCAACTCGCGACAGGACGTCTTGACGACCCCGTTGTTGTAGGAGAAGAGCGGGAACTCTGCGGAGGAAGGGAGCCCGGGTCCCAGGGTGCGCGAACGCACACCTGGGAACGCACCCTGGGAACGCACGGGCTGCGCTGCCGGAGGGGGCGTGTCCCCTGCGCGCTGGTGCGCCCCCCAGCGCCGCCTCCATCTGCCTTCTCCCGCGGCACGCACACAGTCCTGCCGCCCTCCTGCCTCCGGGCGGGGGAGGGGGGGGTCTCCTGCGTCGCTCTATTGCCCCAAACCCTGTCACCTCTCGGGCCCAGAGAGCAGGGAGCTTGTGACCCTTGTCCATTCGGAGCGAACCTGTAACGCGCCCAGCGTCTGACTATCTGCAAGGGAAGCCGACAGGCTCAGGGGCGGGGCAGGCACCGAGCCCTTCACGCCGTGTCCTCCCCCTACTCGCTGTGTGGCCTGGGGTGGTTACCTAACCTCTCTGAGCCTCCGTGGGCGAGCGACGAGGTGGATGTGAGCACCCGCCTCAAAGGGTGGAAGTATACAGGTGGAAGGAGCTTTAGTGTCCCGGGAAAGGCCCCGTGTCTGCCGTGGGATATCAACGCTATTCGTAATCGCGTTCAGTGGAGACAGTGGCGGACGCTGACTCTGGAGACCTGCAGCTCCATCTTGGAGGTGTGGGGAGCGGTCTGCACTCAGGGCAGCGGTCGGGCGGCGAGGAGCACCCGCTGAGCTGGGGTCTGGGGTTTCGCGCTGGGTGAGATCTGCCTCGTGCGTCTGAGCAGCTGCCTCTGCCTGCAGCTAGGGGGCCCCTGGGGGATGGGGTTCAGGCTGCACTCTGTGTGCAGGGGAACGGGGGTCCTCACCTTCAGGTCTCAGCTCCGTGTGCAGACCGGACCTCTGGACCGGTCCTCAGACCCTTAAGGACAGGACTCTGAGACCACCTCTCGGAGTCTTTCCCATTAACTGAAGAATGGGAGTAACCTGGCCCCTGGACAGGGCTGCGGGGTGATTAAGGGCCCTGAGGCAGAGCCGCAGCTCAGGAGGCGCCCCTGAACCTGGGTCTCCCGTGGGTGGGCCAGGGTGCTGGCCCCACTGCCCGCCCGGGCCTGGAGTGTCGTGCACCCTGTCCAGGCTGGAACTGACTTTGCCAGGGTAAGAGCAGGGGGCCACGCCCAACTCCCGCAGCCGGAGTTTCAGCCCCACGGTTACCATGGGTTACGGAGCGGCCCCCCAGCCCCGCCCCGATGCTCTGCCCCTCGGAGGGGTGTGTCCTGTCTGCTGCTTCTGGCGGTACCTGAGGAATTTTTGCTCTTCACCGATTTTGGCGTCGTGGGAGATTTGCTGGGTGAGGTCTCCGCGTCGGCGTCGTCGCTCTGGTTTGGGTCGGTGTCGGACTCTTCCCTCACGGAGACATCCGAGCCTGGGAGGCGAGAAGGGGGGTGATTTGGTGTTTCTCACAGGGTCTCTGGCTTTGACATGCGGGCCTGTAGTTCACTGGTGCAAACGGGGAAGGCTGGGATACACCCGTGGGAGAAGGTTTAGTGGCTCGGTTCGGCCCCATCAGCCCTCCCACGAGCTGACGCGCGCTCTGGGTCGGCAGGAAGGCTCTGCTGGCTCTGCCTGGGCTTCTGGGACCTGCCCTCGTTTGCCCAGGGATGCCTGTGGTCCCGTGCACCTGAGTCTGGGCAATGGCTGAACGTCTCCCTCATCTGGGGAGACTCGTGGCTGATGCACTCGGGGGAAAGGTGACGGACGATATGACAAGGTCAGCTCTGGCCCGGGGAGAGCTTGGTCGGCGGAAATGAGGTGCGCCTGATCCCTGGTTTCTCCGACCAGTTGGCCCTTTTGAGAGCCCAAGGGAAGCTGGGTCTTCTCTTCAGGGAAGGGCATCCACAAGTGTGTGCACACACTTGGGTGCACGGGCAGGCCAGAGCAGGGGCCCCGAGTGCGAGGACTCTGCAGGGCTGTCCGTGTCACATTGATAACGGGACGGCCTGAGCTGCGACAGGTCCCCATGGGTGGAACTCGGGGCCCTCGTGGCCCCTCCTATCCTCTGCCCCGACGCTGGCATTTGGGGCTCCTCCCTGCAGGCTGTTGCTTTGGCTGCTGACTTTCCGCCGTGTGCACCCCCCATGTGCTGTGTGGGGCCCGCTGGTGTCTCTTAGCTGGGCCATCTGCAGGGGGGGGCATCCTGCCTCCCCTCTTCTCAGCTCCAAGGGAGGAATCTCCCCGGTGGACCGTGCTGGGGCCCCCAGGTGTGGGCCGGCCTGAGCGGAGTCACAGCCGGACACGCAGTGCAGACACAGGCCCAGAACGCTCAGGGGGGCTCCAGAGGGCGGGCGGTCTTAGGTGGGTCACCCCCTGCACCACCCTCACCTGCGTCCCGGACACACTCGGCCTGACTCCCAGGTCCTCAGGCTCGCCCGCTCCACCCCTCTGTGTAGGACGTTGTCCTCTCTCTCTCCTCATGACAACCAACACTGCCCACCTCCTCCGGGAAGCCTGCCCTGACTCTCCATGGCCCTGGGCAACCCGCCAACACAGAACGTGTCCAGTCTCCATGTCAGGCCCTGCTCCTCAGCCGGACTGTGACTGTGGGGGGTGGCAGCCAGACCCGACGAGGACCGTGGCCTGGCCTGGGTTGTGTCCACGGCAGTGACAGACGTCCCCGGGGCCCAGGGGACTCCCCCCAGCCTCCCCTCCCATCCACTCACTCTGCTTGCCGAGTGCCGAGGGCTCCTCCGGCTTCTCCGTGGCCGTGTCTCCCTCGTCTGCAATCTTGTTGGTGAAGCCGCTGGACACGTACAGCTTGCTGGTGTCCAGCGCGGCCTTGCTGAAGGGCGACATGGCTGAGTACACGCTGGTGTAGCCGTTGGAGCTGCAGCCGAGCGCGGCCAGGTCCAGGGCCTTGCCGCCCGTGATGATGGGGATGTTCAGGGACAGCTTGCGCTGGCGGCTGGGTGAGGACTTCTTGGTGAGGGACAGCGGTGGCGGCGAGGAGAACTTGCGGGTGGCGCGGGGGGACTTGGGGGGCTCCCCGTACAGGAGCTTGGTGTTCTGACCACTGGCGAACAGGAGCTCCAGCGACCTGAGGGCGGGCAGGGTGGGGGAGGAAGGGTCAGCCTGGCCTGGCCTGGGGTCCTCTGGGTTTAGGGGCGTCCCCGGAAGGGTCTGGATGGTCCATCCTGGATGGGGGTCTGTCCTGCTTTCTCACAGCCCCCGGGAAGCTGCTGCCTGCTGAAGGCCTCACAGCAGAGGTGTGGGGCTCGCATCCTCAGGCCCCCGCCCCTCCTCACGCTCCCCGAGGCCCTGGGAGGGAGGGAGGGCGAGGTTCAGGGGAGCAGGTGGCTGGCGCCCACCTGGCGGGGATGGCGCTGATGGGCTTCTTGTAGATGGTGATGAGCTTGTCCAGCACCACCAGGGCCGAGGTGAAGACGCGGTAGGAGTGCAGGAAGGTGTTGAGGAAGTCGATGCTCAGGAAGCGCAGGTCCGTCAGCCGCTCCAGCAGCCGCTCCACGCTGGCGTAGCGGATCTGCAGCACTTTGCAGGAGTTCATGGTCTTGCTGAAGCGGATGTCCACGTCGTCGCAGTACAGGGAGGCGTCGGACCTGCAGGGTGGGGGCGGGGCGGCCCGAGGTCTGAGCCGGGGGCTGTCTCCCCGGCAGCTCCTGGGGGGCTGGCGGGCCGACCTGGCCCCGCCTCCCCATGGGCCGACAGCCAGGATGGACAGACGGACGCCGAGGGGCTGGCTGGCTGGTGAGGGAACGTGGAAAGCATCGGGAGAGCAGGACTGGGGGAGAATGGGCTGCAGCTTCTTCTTTTTTTGTCCAACCATCTCCTAAACACCAGCCATCATCAAACCCCTGGAGCCACTGGATAAAACAGAACAAGCCTGACCAAATAACGTGTCCCCGAGCTCACAAAATGGAAGGGAGGCCTGTCCATGCACACGTGTGGTCACAGATGTTTCTGGCAGCGTCATTCATAATTGCAAAGGCGTGGAAACCACGTTAAGAGACGGTGGCCTGTCCACACTCGGGAAAGTGCTCGGCGAGGGGAAGGAGTGAGGTGCTGAACGGGGCACAGAGAGAATGCCCCTCGGACACGCTGTGCCCAGGGAGAGACGCCCCTGGCAGAGCCCACGGTCTGTGCGATTCTGTCGACGTGACATGTGCAGAATGGGAATCGGCAAAGCCACAGACAGGAAGGGGGTCTGTGGTCGCCAGAGGTGGGGGAGAGGGCGGGGTTGGAACTGACTGGCAGGTCTGTGGGGTTTTTTTTTTGGGTGTGTGTGATGGAAATATTCTGGATTTAGACGGTGGCGATGGTGGCACAGCACAGTGAATGTACTAAGATCCACCGGTGGATGTGGGTGGTGGGGCCTTCGGGGGCTGGAGGAGGGGACCAGGTGCAGGTGTGCAGGCTCAGCTGTGTCGGGGCCGCCGCCCCACCAAGCCTGTGATCCTCAACTGCTCTCACTGTAACTCGGAAAAGGAACCAGGCATCGCAAACAAGAAAGTGACTAACACGTCATTCCTCAGGTCACATTTCAAACAGCTTAACGCAAAAACCCACCGAGCCAAAGCCACTGCCCAAGTGGACAGGAGCCCACAGCAGACAGCGAACACCCAGGAGGCACGAGCCCGCGGGTCTGAGCCCCAGCGCCTGAGCCCTGGCGCCTGCCGGCCATCACCACCGCCGGCCCCCCGCCCCGCCACCGCATCCCCCTGCGGTAGGGACGGCCTGGCCTCCAGGGCACTTACTTGATCATCTGCGGCACCGTGACCTTGGAGTTCTCCTCAAAGGCGTTCATCATGAGGCCGTTGCACCGGATGTTGTCCACACACTGGAATCAGAGTGGGGGCGCCTGTGTCTCAGCTTCCGGCTCCGCCCGGGTCCCAGGCCCCGCAGGGACTCTGTCCAGCGAGAGGGGCATGTGCCCCGCCAGAGCCAGGCTGCTCCCCTGCGGCCCCATCGGGGCACTGGGTGTGGGGGGGTCAACGCGGAGCACCCCTCGGACGGTGGTGGGAAGCCCCACTCAGTGACCTCAGGTGGTTCACTTGACCTTCCTGAGCCCAAGTTTCTGCCACAGGAGGGTTTCTCCTTGGCATGGGGGGTGGCGCTGTGTGGGGCACGTCATAGAAACTTCTGGATTCAAGGAGGTGCGTGGTGGCGGGGGGGTGGGGTGGGCATCACTGGGGAAAAGGGGGGTGTTCACAGGTTTCTCCCCGGCCCGGGCGTGCCAGGTGCTCCGAGGCCTGGAGCTGAGACTCACAGCCAGCAGGCGCCCACTGCACACCACCCCCGAGCTGCCTCGTTCTCTGGGACTTCGAGGTGCGCCGCCCGGCCAGAGCAGGGCAGCCGGGCAGTGGAGGGGCGGGGTGCAGAAATGAAGGGCGGGGAATGGGAGACTCTGTCCTCTATTCTCCATAAACATGGCTCCCCAGGCCGTGTGCACATCCGGGGGAAGTCCAGCGCCCCCTCTCCCACCGTGGGCTGCTCCGGAAGCCCCTCGCTGCTGGGGCGGGACTGCGTGAACCCCTGGGGCCCTGGTCTGCTGGCTGGTCGTCTGCTCTCTGCGTTGCTGTGGTGTGGGACCCACCCGAAGCCTTGCACGCAGGCAAGACGCAGGCCGGACCCCGGCTGGGCTGCGCAGCTGATTCCAGGCCCCGGGGGGGGGCCTCCTTTCTCTCTTGCCAAGCTCTGCTATCCCCTACCCACCCCGCATTGTGGGGGCCGGGGCTCAGACATCCCCGCACATCCCGAGTGCCTTTGCTGAAAGGCAGACTCCCAGGCGCACCTCCAGGAAGTCTGCAGGGGTGCGGGCGGCTCAGGAGTCGGGAACGTTAGGGGTCGCCATAGCGGATGCTCGCGAGGAAGGGGTTCCCTGAGCCGACTCTGGGGCGGCCCAAGCAGGAGCAGCCCAGGCACGGGGCAGCTGGGCTCGCTGGGCTCGCCTGGCTCGCGGAGGAGCCCCACGCACCCGAGCCAGCTCAGGCACGGGGGGCGCGTGGGGCCCCGGCTTTCAGACACAGGGACGGCGCTCACCTGGCTGATGTCGCTGGTCCACGCCGCCTTCTCCTGGCGGGATGAGGCCACGAGGATGACCGTGAAGGACGGGGAGTCCTTTGGCTCCACCCCGATCTTAAAGTCCAGGCGGTCCATGTCCTGGCCGGACCCTTTGGCTTCCAGTCACAAAACGTGGGGTTAGCGGAATGCGCGCGGGCCCATTTTGAGCTGAAACCGTTTTAAAGGCTCACATGCCGGCGAGGGCGGCGCGCTGGTGGGTCCCAGGCCCCAGGAGGCGGTCAGAACCTCTCCTTTCTCCCAAGGGGAGGCGCCCTCCCTTCAAAGGCGGGAGAACCAGGGCCCCAGGCGCAGTGGTCTAGAGCCCCAGGCCCGGCCCCTCCCGATGGGGAGGAGGGGCCTCCTCGCTCAGCACCCTCCCCTCCTCCCTACGCAAACCACGCGTGGGCCCCGTCTTTCAGGGGGAGAGCATGTGTGTGTGTGCGTCTGTGCGAGCAACTTGCACACCTACCTTCTTCCTCGGTGCTTTCGGGGTCTTCCAGCAGGGTGCAGTCGATGAGGGAAATGACCCCGTTCTGGAAAACAGCAGCCGGGAGGGGGGCGTGTCAGGAGGGGGCTTGGGCGGGAGCATCCACGCACACACAACCATTCCCGTGTGGGGACTGGTTTTGTTATTGTTTTTTGTTCTTGTTCAATGGTGCTGTGCCTTTTACGTGGAAGAGCTTTATTTTCCCACAAGAAAACAAATGGGCCCTGGCTGGGAAGTTCAGTGGGTTTAAGAGCTCTCCCCTCAATACTCCAAGGTTGCAGGTTCGAGTCCTGGTCAGGACGCATACAAGAATCAACTGATGAAGACATCCATCACTGGACCAGCAAATCAATGTCTGTCTTTGTCTGTCTGTCTCTGTCTTGCTCTCCCTCCCTCTTTCTCTCTGAAATCAATTTAAAAGAAAAAAGAAACCCAGTGAAGTGCATTGTCTCAGTACAGATTGTCTCAGAGAGGCCTTCCTGAATGAAGGTCCAGGTCGGCTGGGGGTGGGGTCATGGGGCGAGGGTGTGGCCTCTTCTGGCCCCAGCAGCAGCTCCGAGGTGCCCCCTAAACCCACCGAGGGTTGCAGTCCCCACACCCCTCTGCTCCCCGCAGAGAAGCAGGCCAGTGTCTCGGACTTTCCTCAGGTTTTGTCACTCGGGTTTTGCAGACCCAGTGACAGCGTCACGGGGTTCTGTGTCCTCCCCGAGGTCGCCCAGTTGCTCTGGTCGCGCCAGAGCCTGGAGAGCCCCGGCCAGCCTCTCTCTGCATGTCAGTTTCGAGGAAACTCTGGAAAGATGTCTGTCGTGCCCGGGCGTCTGTGCCTCTCTCGGTCCCTTGGTGCTGTGGTGAGAAGTGAGAGTGCCCACAGCCGCGGCCAGATGGCCGGCGACCTGCCTCTCGCTGGAGAATAAAGCGGAAGTGGGGGCCGGGGCTGTGCCTGCTGCGGCTCACGCCTGTCACCGTCGCCGGTGCCGGGGTGAGGGTTGGGGGGTGGGGGTTGGGGGGCGGCCGCTGCATCTCCTCTGGGGCCCTGGCCTCGTGGGTCCTCGTTTCCACAGAAGCTGAGACAACAAATGTTTGCTTCTAGCTGCTACATTTGGGGCCGCTTTGCTGCACAGCGACAGGTAAGCAATACAGCAACTGATGACCGGGGACCCGGGCACGGGCCGGTCTGTGTTTGAAAACATGTGCTGGGCAGGCTGCCCTCCGGGGGGCGGGGAGCCCCAGATCCTGCTTCTGCTTCTCGTTTGCCCCTTGGTGGCCTTGAGTGACCTCCAGGCCTTGCTGGGCTTTAACTGCCCAGTGATGTCTCCAGGTTTGATAACCTTGAAAGTCCCGTCTAGTTCAAAAAATTCTTAAAAATCTCGAGGATTTGTAGCGTGCCTTCTCCAGGCCTCCGCGTGCCCAGATTTGAAGTCCACGGTGGCGAGGTGCTGGGGAGACTGAGGCTTATCAAGTGCTTCCTACCGACAGAGCAGGTCTGCACCCACCTGCCTGCACCCCCAAGCGCAGCCGGGGGCTTTCCTGGGGCCACCCACCCATGAGAGATGGAGCTGGGAGGAGATGCATGGCTCAGAGCAGTGGACAGGTGAGGCCCTTCCTGGGGAGCAAGCCGTGAGGGACGAGGGAGGTCGGCCAGGGGGACAGAGGCCCAGCCACTGGGGGATGGTGGGAGCCAAAGCCCTGGGGTCAATGAGGAGCAGGAAGGGGTGGGAGGTGCTCAGTCTCCCACCTTTTGGGAGAGGCCAGGTAGCTGAGGGTGGCGTCTCCTGTAGGGTGAGGGCCCGAGGGCCAGCCCCAAGTGTGAGCCCCCCACAGCCCATGGGCAGCACTCAGCCAGGCCAGTGCTCTCGAGGCAGACAGGGTGCTGACAGGGCCCTTGGGTGGGAGATGAGAGGCTGTGGACACCAGGCAGGTGCCACCTGGCCCTGCTCCCTACACACACACACACTCACGTATGCATGTACACATATGCATGCACACACACACACACACACACACACACACAGTTCAGGGGCTTGTCTAGTCCCCAGGCTCCTCTGGGGGGCCATGATGCCCCCCTTCCCGTTTCCCGGGAGCTCTCAGCAGAGAGCGGCCTGCCCACCTACCTTGGTGAGGTGCAGCTTCCCGCCCGAGCCCCGGGTGCAGATGATGAGGTGCTTGGAGAAGAGGAAGCACTGCCGCTCACCCTCCTTCTTCAGGGACAGCGAGCCCAGGCGCCCCCTGGTGATCTTGCCCTTCTCTGACATGGGCACCTGGATGAGGGACCCTGTGGAGGGGGGGAGAGGGCCCCTCAGCGACCTGACCCTGTGAATCCCCTCCTTGGGGCACCTGCAGAGTCCAATGTGGGGCCGGACGAGGAGCCAGGTGGTCCCGGTCCGAGCAGCAAGCCTGGACCTGGGACTTTCCCTGCGGCCCCTCCTTGGGCCCTTGGAGGGACAGGATGGGGGACAACCAGAGAGTCTCCATGCAAGACCCCTTGACCTCCCGGCCAGGGCTGGGCAGGGACAATGCAGGCTGGGGGGTCTTGGGGTGGCAGGAGGAGGGACAAGTGGGGGATGGGCTCTTAGTGGGGGCATGGGGGGGGCGTGGGTAAACAAGAAACAAAGGCAGCTGCTGCCACGCCAGGCCAGGCCAACGGCTCTGGCCAAGGGGGCTTTGCTGCAGGGCCTCCACCCTCCACACAGCAGCAGGGTGCCCCCGCTTGGGGCAGGGGCCTGTGGCGGGCCTGCTGCTGCTCCTACTCTGCTCTCACCTCTGACACCCCTACCTGGGAGCTCCTCCTACTCATCCTTCACAACTTCACTCAGGCACCCCCTTCTCAGGGGGTTCCCCCCACCCCCTGTCCTGCTTGGGGCCACCCTGCTGCCTCCTGCCTGCACCCGTCACTACCCTGAGCCCAGTCCTGGATTTGTTTCCTTGTGAGTCTCCCTTGCACAGAGCACTCCTGGGCTGGGGGTCCACTCTCTGTGTCCCTGCACCCCCGTGCTGGCCTGGCAGGGACCAGGCAGACGTCAGGGTAGGCTGTGAGACTGAGAAGCAGGAAGGCACTGCCAGGCCCCCTGTCTGGTCTCCAGGTCCGGCCCCACCCCTCACAGGGCAGGCTCCTGGGTGCAGGGTCCCCACCCTGGAGACGTCATTCTTTGGGACACTCCCCACATGGTCCAGAGTAGCTCAGGGAGATGGGAGACAGGCAAATTAAGGGTCAGGTCATGGAAGGGCTCAGAATAAACTCCAGGGAAGTGATCCCCTTGCAAACGGCAGCTGCATGCAGGCTGGAGGGAGGTGCTTGTGACCTGTGGGGCCAGCTGGTATTTGCCACCGCCGTTCGCTCCTACATCCTCCCAAAAGGGACAGGGGACTGTTTACTACAGTGAGCAGTGCACAGCCAGGGCCATCAGAAAGAAGTGTGTTTGCCTCTGGAGAGAAGGAACCTGAAAACCGGCACCACCTGCATCTCGATGAAGAGATGCTCCCGAGGCCCCAGGTTCCACTGCCACATCGGGAGGGGCCTGAGTGACCCTGCCACCCAGCGCCCAGCTGGCCTGGGCAGAGGCTGTACCTTGTCTCACGAAGGTCTGACTGGTGTCCAGCAGGATCTCACAGCCCTCGATAATCATGCGCTCGATGGCCAGGTTTTTCCGGATGTTCTCCGTCTCGCTGACCTCGTCATGCATTATCCTGTGGGAATGGGAAGTGGGACCATCAGAGACGGGCGGCCACCACGCCGAGGGGGGCCACCGAGGGCCGGCCAGGTCTGGGAGAAAGCCTGGCGCCCAAGGAGGCAGGGGCGTCCCAGGTCAGAGAAAACGAATCGGAGGTTAACCACTGAGAAGCAGGTCTCTGGGTTACAAGCACGGACCGTGGGGCAGAGGCCTCGGCGTAGGGAGGAAGATGAGGCTGCAGGGGGCATCCTTAGTGCGTTAGCCCGCCCTCACCGACCCCGGCCTCATCTGCCCGCGGAAAAAAACGAAGGCCTTTGTACTTCCCGATCAGTGACCCTGAACGCTCTATATACAGATGTTTTCTTATTTTAAAAACTTTTGTTTATTGATTCTAGAGCGAGAGAGACATCGATCTGCTGTTCCGTCCATCTGTGCATTCATTGCTCGACTCCTTTCCCGCCCAGGAATCGAACCCTCAACCTTGGAGTATCAGCAAGATGGTCCAATCAACCAACGGAGCTACCCAGCCAAGGTTTGGTTTCCTGATCATGGTCCTGAAACAGCTTGGTTTCAGAGGACGGGGCAATGCCGCTGGCTCAGGGAACACGGACTTCTGTTATTTCTGCGAATTCTGGCCCAGCTGGGAGGAAAGCAGGGTGCACGTAGCCCCCTCCCCACCTGCCACACCATCTGAGAACACACAACTGTCCTACTAGTTCCTGTTGGGCCGGCTGCAACTCCACTCATGTCCACGAGGTGGCAGCACTTACCTGCTTTAAAAAAAATACAGTCCGTGGGAAAATGGACAAGAGAGTTGTTCCCTTTGCAAACAGCCTTTCCAGGTTTCCAGGAATCTCGGATGGTAGTGGGTAATTTATGCGTGGGGGGGGTGGTATGGAAAAACATCCCACCTACTCCAGCTCAGGGCCTTTGCACCTGCTGTTTTTTCCCCGGGACTGCTCACACACAGCTATTTACTTGCTATCCGCTGAAGAATGGTTTGTGTCCCAAGGACCTGAATGGAAAAATTCCTTGCCTGTTCCTCCTCAGGGCTTTTGTACTTGTGTTTTTAATCCCCCTGAATTCTCTTATTTGTTAATTCTCGCTGCAGAACGTGCTGATTTTAGAGAGCAGAGAAGGGAGGGAGAAAAAAGGGAGAGAAAGACATGTGAGAGACAAACATTGATCCGTTGCCTCCGGAATGCACCCCGACCGGACCCGCAACCTAGGCATGTTCCCTGACCAGGAATAGAATAGAACCCGTGAGCTTTGGGTGTGCTGGATGCTGCTCCAAACAACTGAGTCACACCAGCCAGGGCCGCTTATACGGCTATTTCGAAATCCTGGCTCTGGACTGGAGTAAGACTTGGTAATGCAGCTGGCTCGGGGGAGAACAGCTTCAGTTAATTTCCTAAGTTCTGGAAAGTCTGGGAGGATAGTTTGACACCATCTACCCCCAATCTAAAATACAGAGACCTGTCCCTATTGTTTTTTTTCTTGCCGCCTGCAATATCCCATATGTCCACAAGGTGGCAGCATTGATTTACTTTTTAAAAACTACACTTGCCAAGTGACGTGTCCACTCTGCTGAGAACCTTCACTGGTCTCAAGGACACGTCAGGAAATAGGCTATTTTTTTGTTGTTGTTTTAGTGATGCTCTGAAAATATTTCCTGCCTGTTTCCTCAGGGCTTGGTAGTTGTTTCACCCCCCGCAGGAACCTTCTTTTACCTTGGTTTAATTTATTTTATATTTTATTTACATTTATCTTTAGGGAGAGGGTAAGGGAGGAATAAAGCACTGGCAAAAGGAGACGTGAGTGGTTCACTAGGAACCGTGAACGTTTCCAGGTGTCTGCCCAGGTAGTCTGTTATTTTTCAGGGGGTATCTGCGAAAATTGCCTACCTTCTTCTCAGGCCGTTTGTACTTTTACGACTGCTTTAAAAATGTAGGCTCTGGCCTTGGTTATTACTGGAGGACCTCGCAATGAGGTTTGTCCCTGGAAGACCAATTTTTGTTAGTCTTGTAGATTTTAGCGAGTTTGGGAGGAAAACTTGACACAGCTACTTTTTAATCTGGGATACAGACAGTTGCTCCTATTGATCTTTTCTGCCGCCTGCAATACCAATGATTTCCACACGGTGGCAGCATTTACCAGCTTTTGAAAAAAATACCCTAGGAGGAGGCAAAAGGACAGCGAGTGGTCTCTGTTGCTAGAAACCTTGACTGGTATCCAGGCGCCTGCCCAAGTCGTCTGTTATTTTTTAGTGGGTGTCTGGAAAAACAGCGTACCTTTTCTTTCTCAGGGTCTTTGGACTTGCTGTTTCTTTTCCTTGAACGTTTGTTTACGACTGCTTTTTAAAATACCGGATCTAGACTTGCTTATTGTCAGAGGACTTGGCAATGAAGCTGGCCCCAGGGTGAGCTTCAAGAGCTCACCCTTGGAGACCGAGTTCTTGATTTGTGTAGTTTTTGACAAGCAAGGGAGGAAAACTGGAGGCGATTTTTTCCTAATCTGGGATGCAAACGACTATTCCTATTATTTTTGTTCGGCCGACTGCAACTGCAATGATGCCCACCAGATGGCACCCTCTACCTGCTTTTAAAAACATCCCGAGCGGAAGATGGAAAATTGAGTTGTGGACTTCACTCAGAGACTGAATGGGTTTTGAGGAGTCTTAGCAAAGTAGGGGGTCATCTGTGGGCCTGGGAAATCTCGAAAAACTACCCCCTTCCTTCTGCTCAGGCCCTTTGCAGATGCTGTTTTCTCCTGAATGCTCTTCATATGGCTCTTTCCGTAATATTAATACTTTGGAACGGCCTGTTTTTGGAGGCCCTGGTGGTGGGCTAGCTCAGGGAAGACTGACTTCTGTTACTTCTGTGTGGGGACCAGCGAGGGTTAGACTTTGCTAAGAACACTGGTGGCTTTTTAGGAGTCTCAGAAAAGTAGTGGGTCATTTTTGGGGAGGAGGTGTCTTGAAATAGTACCTCACCTACTCAAACAAACACCCTAGAGGGCCTCCTGTTTGCTTGCTGGGACCTGACATTCTGTGCAGGGTGCCAGCAGGGGCCGGTCAGTGTGTGTGGTTATGACGTTCTCCCTCAGACCCACTCCCAGTACACTCCACAGCCAGCTGGGGTCACACGGGGCCCTAGTGCTTGTGACAGATGGAATCAGCCGGCTGATGAGGAAACTACTGAGACCCTCTGGTCCTCAGGGCCTGGAGAATGGCGGGGTGAGGGTGGACGATCGTGTTTCATGTGCCGAGCTCGTGCCCAGCCCACGAGAGAAACTGGTTGTGACCACTGTTCATGCTGTCCTTGGGGAGGTGATAGAGTCTCTTCCCCTGTGCCTCAGTTTCCCCTGCCCTTCTAGTGATGCTCCAACAGAGGCCCCAGCCTCAGCCCTGTGCTGGACAGAGGCTGCTGAGGCAGGCTCTTTTCAGGGGCCGTGTGGGAGAGCAGCGGGGTTTCCAGGGCCTGGGGTTGACAGTGAGCCCAGGGTGTGGGGGTTCAGGGGGAACGGTGGGTGAAGGCTAGAGGAAGGAGTACGCCAGCCTCCAGGAGGGGTGTTCTGAGCTCAGCTGGGGGGACCCGAGTTATCTGATGGCCTCCCATGGGTTCGGGGCTTTCTCAGCCCCAGAGGAAGCTGATGGGAGGACGGAAGGGTTGTCATGGAGAGAGGAGACCTCCTTTGTGTTGGGTGCTGGGCCAGGTGCAGGTGATGGAGGTGAGGGGCAACAAGAGTGGTCTGAGCACCAGGACCCCTGGGGGGAAAGGGATTAGCAGCTTAGGCTGCCACCCAGGTGCTGCCTGCAGCTCTTCCCACCCTGGGGCAGGCGCCCCTCAGTGACAGGAAGCCTGGCTGCCTCCTGGGGTCCCTCGGGCCACCTGTAGCCCCCCTGACTCTAACACAATGACGGCTGGGAGGGGAGGCAGTGAGCAGGTTCCCGTCCTGGGAGATAGGCCCTGCCTGGGACCCTGTGGGCTTGGGCTGTGCACTGTGGCCCTGTGCGGGGCGGGGGGGTGGGGGTGGAGGGAGAGGGGGCACCACTTCTCTGTCCCCAGGAATCCTACCCTGATCCTGCAGGTCACCACCTGGGGCCCAGCACACTCAGGGGGCACCCTCAGCCCAGGTCTGAGCCTGGCCGCCCCCCTCAGCCAGCTCACCTGGACAGCTCCTCCAGCTTGGACTTGGCATAGTCCAGGCTGTTGCGCTCCACGTGCTCGTGTGGGGTGTGGGCCAGGAGCTCGTGCAGCGTCAGGATGTACCTGGGGATCTACAAGAGGAGGGATGGAGGACAGAGACGAGCAGCATTGGAAAGGGCTCTCCCAGCCCCCAGGACACCTGCAGGGGCAGGGCCCCTGGAGGAGCTGCGCCCTCGCCTTCTCACTCTGCCTGCTCCACAGGGCGCACCAGCCTCACCCCGTCCTGCAGGAGGGCCTGAGGGGGCGGCCTGGCGCACCTGGAACATGGGGTAGGTGAGGAAGGTCTCCAGCGTCCTCTCCTCACAGTCGGGCTTCGCCTCGTAGTGCTTGAGCAGCTTGTCGAAGTCGCGGTTCTGCTTGCAGTGCGCCAGGATCTGCAGGCTGTACTGGTGGTTGCGCACGAACTCCTGGTAGATGTTGAGCATGGGCAGCAGGATGTCGAACAGGTCCGCTGCAAGGAGGGCGGGGTCAGCGGCCGGTGGGCGGGGTCAGCGGGCGGGTGCCTGGGGAGATGGTGGAGGTGCCCCACCCCATCCTGGACAGATCCTGGTGTTTGGAAAGGACTCTGACCAGGTAGGTGGACCCCGATATGGGGACCAAGCCAGAGTTGCAGAGTTTGAGAGATGGAGTCAGAGCCAGGCGGTGTGGTGGGTGCTGCGTGTGTGCCCCCCACCCATTCTGCACCCCAACATTCGTTCCCTAGCTGCTGGGGTGCCGGTAGCCGACGGCTCTCAGCTGGGTGCCCCCAACCCAGGAACCACTCGGCTGATGGAGGCTGCCTTGCACAAGGCACACCCCACCCAATGGTGGGTGAGGTGGGGGCGTAAAGGCCGCCCCATGCTTGACCTCGAGGGGCCATCCAGCTGCTGCGCTCCCGTGGGGTCAGCGGAGGGCCTGGCTGTCGCTGCATCGAGGCCTCATGTCCCTCTGCCCGGCCCCCACGGGCTGGTGGGGAGGCCTCCCTTCCAGAGAGCTCCACCTGTGACAGCACCTCTCTGCGGTCACAGGCCAGTCGGTAGGTGGCCTGGAACTGGGTCTCCTGACGCTACACGGCCTTGCGAGTCTCCGCCCCGCACCTGTCCCTTCATCAGCGCGCCCCTGTCCTTCCAGACCTCCCCAGCTCCGCAGCCCTGGTGCAGTGAGATGGGTCCCCTGCTGGCGGTTCTGTCTCCACCTCCTGGGTGTGCGATACCCCGTCCTCTCAGACCCACCCTCAAACCTGCCCTGTGCTCTGACAGAGGGGCTGTGGGGGGCCCACACCGCGGCAACCTCTGCGACGCCCCCTGCAGGCGGGTGCTGGAGCATCCCTGGGCAGTCCACAAGCCCAAGAAAACACACACGATAATGGACAGTTAAAAAAACCCGCGGCAAGATTCGAATTCTATATTCAGTAGCTTTGCAATTATGTAAAACGGGGGAAAAAATCCCTTGAGCTCTGCCCATGAAGAAAAACTGGAAGAAAACACCCAAGTGTTTACAGTGGTATCTTTGGGAGGCAGAACCATGCTGGATATTTTTAAATGCTTTCCACTCTTCTGGATTCTCTAATCCTCTCAAATCGGTATATATATATATATAACTTTTAAAAGGGAAAAGCAGATAAAGAACTAAAAATACATCGCTTCCTCCTAGAAACAGAGGTTTGGCCAACTTCTCTTTCTTCTTGGGCTTCTGTGGGTCCTGAAGGGGCCCCTTAGTTTCTCTCTGGAGGGGACAGTGCGGCCCCGAGGGGTGGGAGGGCCAGAGCAGGGGGGGGCGGGTCAGGGGCGGGGACTCACCCAGGACCAGAGTGGGCCAGCTGGAGATGCGGGCCTTCAGGCCCTGGTAGAAGATCTGGTGCAGGAACATGATGGTCTCGCTGGAAGAGAAAGCCGGGCTGAGGGGGCCTGGGGATCCCCCAATCCGGTTCCCTCCCCCCGGGCCACCCAGCCCACAGCTGCGGGGGCCTCTGGCAGCAAATGGCTCCTCACAGGTGAGTCCGCTTCTGTAGCCCGTGGGGCCTGGCGGGAACGAATATGCGGGGAAAAGGACCAGGAATTTCTGGAGGTGACAGCAGAGCGCTGGGGTCGCTTGCTCAGGAGGGGAGGCGCCCAGAGGCGCCTGCTGTGCTTGGAGCAGAACAGCGGGCTGGGGACACCGCCAGCTGGAACTTGAGAAAGTTCGCCGATGAAGCCCTCACGTTTCAGGCGGACACCGTGAGGATGTCACCGGTCACCCCGCTGCTCGGAAACTGCCATTGTTTCCCGTCCAGCAAGAGCACACTGGCGTCATCTGACCTGGGATTACTTGAAGGAAGATCACGGCTGGTGAGCTGGGTGGGCTTTTTCCCCTACGGATTTGGCCATGCGGATCTCTGCCTCTGGGAACTGACCACTCACGTGCAGTTGCTACTTCTTTCTCTTACCCGTTTTCAAGAACGGAGGGGGTGCTCACCTGTTGAGGAAGATGCTGCTGACGTCGTCGTGCGTGATGGGGGGCTTCTTGGAGCTGGCGGCCATGCGCAGCGGGCGCAGGAAGTTGTTGACCAGGATGTGCAGCTGCTGCACGTACTCGGCCTCGGCCTCCAGCATGCTGAACACCACCTGGTTGCGCTTGCGCATGCTGTCGGCGTGCGGCGAGCGGATGTAGTCCTGGATGATGGTCTTCCACTTGCGCCGGCACAGCCAGCCGCGCAGGAAGCTCTGCACCTGGGCGCCCACGCGGCGTGGGATGGGGAGGCCGTCAGTGCGCAGCCCACAAGGTCCCTGCCCGGGTCCCTCGGAGCCCGTTTGCCAGCTGGACAAGGGGCCAACATGAGGCCAAGCTGCGGGAGTGCCCCACGCACTGGGAGCCTGCGCTGGTTAGAAATGCAACCTCCAGACTCCCCCAGCCTCTGAGCATTAGCAAGACCCCCTGACTGCTCCAGAAATGCTCCCCGAAGGAGGCGGGGAGGTGGGGGAGCATAGCCGGGCACAGCTCACATGTCTTCTCGTCCAATCGCACTGGACCGACAGCCTAGAAGTTTCTGCCACAGCTCGTCCGGGGAGAGGGCGATGGTCAGATGGAACAGAAGGCGGCCAAGGCGTCCCTCTCGCGCCTCTGAGAACCGCGTCTGCCCAGAGCCCCCTCTCCCGCATCCGCGGGGAAGTGACACCCCCGCTCCGCTCGCTAGTCTCGGATTCTGGCCGGTTTTGGCAGGAACTCAGGAGAGACCTCCATTCACACGTACAGAATTGTTCTAAGGGGCACACGCTTCCAATTAGGTGCCACCAAGCTCCCTGCCGTCCCTGCACAGGGGAGACCCAGAGCACCCAGAGCAAGGGTGATGGGTGGTGCCTGGACGGGAGGGGGGGCTGGGCACCCAGGGGCCGCCCCAGGGGTTTGCCTGGAGTGGAGAGGCCGGGCTGGGCCCTGCCAGTGCCCAGGGGACAGGAAGCTGTCCTGCTCTGAGGCCCCAGAGGGGTGACAATAGAGGGAAGGGGGGGGGGTTTCAGCTGGTGCTGAACAAAATATCCCAGCCACACTGGCCTGTCAAGATGGGCTGGGAAGCCCATTGGGGCCGCAGTGGAGAAGGACAGCCAGGGCATCACCACGGGGTGGGGCTTGGTTCAGACCTGGGGGGCAAATCCCAGTGCCCACCAGGCCTGGCAGGTCCTGGCCGTGGGTGAGGCTGGCCTCACCTGTCCTGTAGGTGGGATGTGGGTCCTGGGGCTGTGGGACCTGCCTTTCAGGACGTGGTGGGTCCCAGGGACCGAGGATGTGGGCTTTGGAGCTTGGTGGCCACTGTGTGACCCTAGCAAGTCTCCGTGCCTGGCTGGGCCTCATCTCCCACGTGAGCTGCAGATGATTAAAACCTCAGGGGGTTGGCTGTTGGGAATGAATTCATCGGCAGCACAACTGCTGGAAAGTACTTAACGAACAGCAGCTATTTCTGCTTGTGGGCGACCAGAAACCCCGATGCTCAGGTGAGATGTCCGGGTTTGAAAGCGCTGGCTGCCAGTTGAAAAGGACAAGGAAATGGCATGTGGGCTCCGAACCCCGCCACGACGGGAGGCCGCACCGCCTGAGGGTCCCTTTGCCTGCGCTGCAGGTGGGCTCTCTGGTGTCACTGGATTGTCTCAGGGTGAGTCAGGCTCCCTGCCTGGGTTCCGGCAGGCCGCAAACACAAACTGTAAGCTTTTGCTCTGCAGCCCCCCAGGTGGCCCAGGGTGTGGCTATGACTGGGTGGATCCCTGGTACCTTCTGAGATGTCTGTGCTTCTGGACCCCAACTGGGCAACACCAGTGGGAGGGACTGTGGGGTCTTACTGAGGCCGATGGCTGTACGGAGGTCTGCTGGGGCTTGAAGGGCAGCTGTGTGCACGTTTGCTGGCAGTGAGGGGTGTGGGGAGGGGTCAGGGTGCTGGTCGAGGCCGTCTAGTTCTGCCAGGAAAGCTCCCGGCCAGGCCAAGAGTGCCACGGCCATGAGTTCTGGTCCTTTCTTTCATGGAGCCTCAGTTTTGTCACCTGTAGCGTGGGCTGAGCCACCGTCCTCCCAGGAATGACCAGAGGTCATAGCCCAGCTGAACCGGGGTGCTGGTTCTGTCTCAGGAGCTGAGGTGAGGGGGCCATGCCCTGGGGGAGGGGGACATGAGGCTGGGGTGGGGGTGCCGCCTGGAGGGATGGGACAAACCTTCTTGATTTTCTTGATGTCACTGTCCTCGTCAATCGGGGTGATGGTCTGCGTGGCCTGGATCCGATCTTTGTTCTTGAGCAGGGACGCGATCTGTAACAGAAACACAGCTCAGCTGCCCTGAGGGTCCTCGGCCAGCAGGCCCTGTGTGGTGAGTGGGTGCCCCGCTGCTCCATCCCCGAGGGCCCGTGGCCCCTTGCTCTGTGGGACATGGCTGAGCCAGACATCGGGGTCCTGTCCAGCTGGGCTACAACTCCGAGCGACCTTGGGCCCTGTGGCCTGAACCTGTGATTCTGTCCCCAACCATCGCTGCGTTTATTCTCAGGTTTTCGTGGAGGTGAGGCGTGTGGAACACGCACCTACCGTGCTGCCCAGGCTGAAGTGCCCGCTCACATCCTTGTGCAGCCACCCCCACCCCAGCTCCGGAGCAGCCTCATCTTCCCAGAGTGAAGCTGTGAACTGCTCAAGCCCTGCCTCCCCCCTCCCTGCCCCAGCCCGGGCAGCTCCTTCCATTCTCTGTCTCTGTGAACTTGACCGTTGAAGTTCCTCAACTAAGTGGGATCACACGGTATTTGTCCTTTTGTGACAGGCCTGCTTCACTCAGCGTCATGTCCCCCAGGCTCATCCACACTGCAGCAGGATTTCCTTCCTTTTAAAGGTTGAGCCTTGGCTGGTGTGGCTCAGTGGATTGAGCGCCGGCCTGCAAATCAGAGGGTTGCCAGTTCGATTCCCAGTCAGGGCACCTGCCTGGGTTGCAGGCCAGATTCTCAGTAAAGGGGCACATGAGAGGGAACCACACATTGCTGTGTCTCTCCCTCTCTTTCTGCCTTCCCTCCTTCTACAAATAAACAACTAAAATCTTTAAAAAAAAGTAAGGCTGAGTGATGTTCGATTGTCTGCAGAGAACACATGCTGCTCTCCATTCATCTACTGATGGGCACTTGGGAGTATCCTTCTTTTTCTTTTTTTTTTTAATCTTAAAAACAAATGTTGATACCGGAATCTCTTTCTTTTTCAGACCAACCCCACAGGCAGCCCAGGCAGTGGCAGAGTCCTGTGGGCTCGGCCGTCCCTGCCCTGGGTGGGCCCGAAACCCCTCCCTGACCTAGAGCCGTCCTGAGGGCACCACCTGGAAACTGCTGGCCTAGGAGATGGAACAGCCTGGGAACAAACATCAGAGGCGCTGTAAACGTCTCTATCGGATTTGGGGATCAGAGAGGTGGGCATAGCGGGGGCCTGGGGACTCCTCCAGTGGGTGGGTCAGGGCTCTGCTTCCCACCACCCCAAACTCTGCAGGCCTTCACTGGGGCCTGTCACCAGGGCCACCTTGTGCTGCGGACATTCCAGTGCCAGCGTCGCCCGTCTCCTGCCGTGCACAGGGCTGGGCACTCAGCACACTGCAGGCCACGTTAATGAGTGAAGTAAAAACAAACAAACAAACAAACAAACAAACAAACAAACCCCAGAGCCATGCAAACCTCAGGCAGAGGAAAACACCGCGGTGCTGTCACGGGCCCCACAGACTGCAGGTGGAGGAGGCTCCAGCCCTGGCCGAGTAGCTCAGCTGGGTACAGCCTGGTTCCCATGCACCAAGGTTGCAGTGGGTCCGACCCCTGGGTAGGGTCAGCCAGTGAGTGCAAAAATGAGCCGAGCAACAAATCGATGTCTCTCTCTCTCAAAAAAAATCAATCAATTAAAAAAAATTAAAGGCAGCAGCTCAGGGGAGCCTGCAGTCGCCACCAGGCCACTTCCTCTGCAAGCTGCCCGCTGAACCACGGAATGAATGGGTTTCACAAAAGAGCACTTTGAAAGCAGAATGGAGCCGTTACCCGCTCTCCACTGCCGCGTTGCTAAAATTACCTGGCGATGCTTGGCAGAGTCGCTGAAAATATCTGGCTGAGAAATATTCAGCGCCGGCAGGGGAGCTGCTGCTTTTCTTTCCCCAGCGCACCCCCCCACTTCCGGTTTTTTTATTCTCTGAGAACATTTGCACGTTGAAATGAAGGCTGATCCTTTGATCTGCCCTCTTTGGGGCTGAGGAACACACACACACACACACACGTGTGCTCGCTGGCACAAGCTCCTGGAGAGCTCAGAGGCTTGGGCACATCCAGTCCACACTCGCAGGGTTGGCCTGGTGTCACCACCCCCATGCCAGTCTGCTTCCTCTGCAGGTTTTGGGGTTTGCACTCGGTGCCCCTTCTCCCTTTAGTGGGATGACAGGTGCGCGCGCATGTGCGTGTGTGTGAGTCTGTATTTAAAAATGATGGCGCTGCTCTCGGAGAGAGAGGCATTCCGGGACATCCACCCAGCAGGGACCAGGGCAAAAATAGATGCAATTAGGCCAGGCGCTCTGCTCCCTGCACAGGCAACTCCGGCCGCCAGGGGGCCTTACTGAAGCACCAGGCTGCTGAGCCAAGCTGCCCAGCGTTGTGAGCCCGGGGAGCCTGCAGCAGTCTGGGCCACAGCCCGCACCCTGGAGGAGGGTTGCGGGACCCCGCATGAGCTCACAGAGGGCAGGTCCCTTCTGGGCTACGGACCCCGGTTGGCTTGTCCAGGAGCTGCTCAGCTGACCCGTGTCAACGGGGCCCTGGAGAGTTGGAACTTTGGCTCACAGCCCAAATCGCCAGCGAGCGCCTGCTCTGGCTGCTGAGCCCGGCGTCTGGGCCGCCCACTCGCCACCTGCAGACAGGCCTTCTACGCCCTCGCTGGCCACGCCCCTCGGGGCCCCTGCCCCTCCCCCCCCGCCCCCTCGGTGCAGTCATCAACTGTGGCATTAATCTAGGTTTTCTTTTTGTGTTCGCAGGCAAGCTTTTGCCAAAGATCTCCGCGTTTCTTGCTTTTCAACCCGCTGCTGCATAACTCGGTTCTGTCTCCTCCCCTTCTGCTCCCGTTTCGTTTTCCCTCCCGTCATCGGCAGGTCCTGGTGCGGTCGCTGTGCTGAGCGCTGTCTCGGGCACGGGTGGCACAGAGCTGCAGGTGGAGAGGGTGGAAGGGCCCCTGGAAGGGTTTCCAGTCTCAGAAGGGGGGCGGGGGCGGACGTCCCCAGAGGCCACGTGTAATCCAACAAGGCAAGGCCGGGACAGGGGTGTGTACCTGCTGCAGCAGACATCTCAACACAGAAATGGACGGGTCTTTCCAGAGAGGTTTTGAAGGGCGAACAGGAGCCCACAGGTGGCTCTGGCATGGTAGGGATTGCAGCAGAAGGAAGGGATGGTGTGATCAAAGGTACAGCGCATGACTGCCAGGGTCTTCTGTGCCGTGGGGGCGCTGAGCAGTAGGGAGAGCCGCGTGGAGTAGGGTCAAGGTGCCTTCTTCTCTTTCCCTTATCACTGGCCCCTCGTTGACCTGCTTTATATATTGGGTTCCAGGTCGAAGTTCATTTGCCAAACCGATTCCACGGCTACAGTTTTATCTCAAACCAGTCTCAGCCTTGCAGGTGCTGAGTGCTTCCGAGCCAGTGAAATATTATGACTGACTCTAAATTCCTGCCCTTCAGGGCCTGCCTGCGTTCTCCGAGTTTACGCTCAGCCATAAATGGGAGCACAGTAGCTGTGGAAAGAAGGATGTGGCCACCCCGAGTGCTCCGGTGGAGGGGTGGCTCCTGTAGGGAGGCAGGTGTCCCCTGGTGTTAGAGGGTCCTCGGGGCTTTTGGTTCTGAAAGATGAGGCCCGAGGGTGTTGTTTAGATGGGAGAACACAGACACCATGCATCTGGGGAGAGGTGGCCAGGTGGGGGCTGGGCAGAGCCCGGGCTGAGAAGGGCCCAGTGTGTGGTTCAGGGCTCTGCTGCTGCCTTGAAATTCCCAAAAGACCCCCCATTTTCATTTGGCACTGGGCCCTGCCAATTACAGAACCGGCTCTGAAAAAGGTGGGTATGCAAGCCATCACAACCAGGTCTCTCTGAAAGAGAAACTCTGATTGGCCGGTTCTGTGTGTGAACCTTCCTCCCTCGCCCACGGTGAGGCTACCAAAGGCTGAATAAGGAGCCTGCAAGTTCTTGAAAACACCAGCTCTTTGCAGCTGGTACGTGCGGCTCTAGCCTGTCATTGGCTGGAAGGAGAGGGGCGTTGTAGAGAAGAGGTGATGAGCCAGACCACCGACAGAATGGCCTGTGGGGTCTGTGGAGAGATGTCACTGACGGGTCCCTCTCTCGGGACAGGCTGAGCGGTGTGAGGTAGGGGTGTCTTTTCTTCACTTCTACTCTGTCTCCCTTTCAGTACTGTCATGCCCGAACCTTCTGGCCAGTTTGTGACACTGTGACATACACCAGCCTGTGTTCCAGGGACGGAAGCAGGGGCCACTGCTCCCCTGGGATGAGGTCGTGGTCCCGTGTCACTCCTCAGCTGCGACGCTCCCATCCGTGGATGGCACAGTGACGCCCCAGCGGCCCGAGAGCCTGACTCCGAGTGAGAGTGCCGTGTGACTGAGAACACAGCCTTTGCTGCGCTGCGCTGTGAGGATGCTGGGGTCGCTTGTGACAGCGGCGGAACCCGGCTGATCCTGACGGGCACACGTAGTGACCCCTGGGTGAAGCCATGATGACCGCAGGGGGCGATGTGGCCAGTCAGGGCAGCAGGGTCTCAGAACAGCTGGTGGCAGGAGAAGGGAACTGCTGGAGTCCTCAGGAGGAGCAGGAAGAGCGGGGTGGGGCCTGAGGAAAGCTGCTTGGCATCGGTGAGGAAAGGCGAACCCCGGGAGCTGGGGCAGCCTTTCCTCAGCCTGTCCCCTTTGTGGGGGGCGGTAGCTTGCATAGGAGCTGGAACTCCAGTGCTGGGGTGACCTGGGGTAAGTTCCTTTCCCTATCTATGGACTTGTGTCCTCAGGTCCCCCCTAGCTCTGACCTTCTAAGACCTTGACTTTGTCACAGGGCTACTCCTCACTTCCTAGCTTTTCAGTGCCCCTGCCACATGGTCACTGACTTCCTGGGCAACGGGCTCTGTTTCCCCCTTCCTGGAGCCCACCCAGTGCTGGCAGGTGCCCTTGGTCCTGTGGGATCTGCATGTGCGAGAGACACAGACAGGCTGCAGCCTGAAAGCGTTGGCACTGAGTGCCCTTTCAGAGTGTCCTTGGAAACAATCTTTGCCCTGGAGCGGATGCGCTCAACTGGAAGCATTGCCCCGAATCCCAGAAAAGGGCTCCTGCCGCTGTGCCGCACCCACAGGGGCTCTTACAACCACCCGCTTCGTGCCCCCTGCCCCACCACCCTTGCACCCACCGCTTCTCTGTCCCCCCAGCCGCTCCCCACCCCCCCAGCCCCTCTAAGGCACAAGCAACCCGAATGCATGCGCACGCCAGCCATGAACTGAGTGACTTCCCAGCTCGGGTCCCCACGGAGCCCTGCTTTCGTGCCTGTGGCTCTGCACCCCACAGACAGGCCGCAGGGGTGACACCTTCATCTCTGGTGGCCCCCACAGAGCCTGCCATCCATCCACCTAGGGAGCCCTCACCGAGCGCCTCCTCTGCCAGGCAGAGGTGATGAAGGACACAGGCCTGCCTTCAGGGGGTTCCCGCCAGGCTAGGGGGCCATGCCGAGGGTGGGAGGCCACGGGAGCAGGGCAGGGAGTCCCCAGAAGGGTTTCCCAGACAGGGACGTGTGGGGGTGACAAGGGCATTCCTCATGGTACCAGCACATCCAGAGGCTCAGAGGCGCCTGGGTCACAGCCAAGGGCATCGCAGGAGCCTGGGGGACAGGTGAGGAGCTGGGGGAGAGGGTGAGGCCATGCTCAGGTGGGCCGAGGCCTGTTGTGAGTGAGCAACACCTGGACACCCCGACCATGAGCTGATGACCTGGTACTGCAGTCTGACTACAGGTCCCTCATGGGGGCTCTGCTTGGATGCAGCGGTGTGTGCTGGGCCAGGGCAGACCATAAGTTTGCCCACAGAGGGGACTAGTCTGAGAGTGAGGCAGCTGGTCCAGAGACAGGACAGGTGCCCATGCCAGAGCCGCGTGAGGAGGGTCGGGCAGAGCGGACAGGCTGGGGAGCAGAGGGTGGGCCTGGGAGCCTGTCCCAGCTCCGGGGAGGCGGCCTCTCCGAGGGTGCCTGGTGGGGGGTAGAGGGGGTGCGTGAACCAGAAGCTGGGCTGGAGCTGGAGCCTCAGGCTGAGGTTCCTGTTAGTTCTGCACGACCGGGTGGGTTGGGTAACTTCTGGCAGCACCTGGGGTATTAGGTGGCTGACTCAGCCAGGCCTCTTGCCCACCCCTCATCTGGGCACAGGGTGCATCACGGTGCATAGTCAGGGGAGCTGGGGGGTGAAGGTCGGGAGTCACCTGTCCGCCCCGGGTTGGGACGGGGGGGCCACGGGAGGGGAGAGTGACTTCCCCGACTGCAGCCAGGGCCTTGCAGTTTCTGCCTTCCATCACTCCCTGACCACTGGAATCTGCATTTCCTCCTTTCCTGCCTCAGCTCGTGGTCCACCGTCCTTGTGTGATGTAGCCAGGTGGCTCTGAGCCCAGCGGTGGGGTGAGGGGGTACAGGGCCATGACACCCTTCTGCTGGGGGTGGACAGTGGGCTGGGGCACTGCAGGGGCTAAGAGCTAGCCTCCCAAGCTTTCTTGGCCCCTGGGATGCTGTCAAAGGGCAGGGTCTGGCCCAGGAGGTCTGAGGGGCAGTGTGGGATTCTGCATTTCTAATGAGCTGCTGCTCTGTGGACCACACTGGTGGCAGTGAAACCCCAAAAGACTCCCTCTGGTACCTGCTCCCTGGCAAGCTCCCATCAGGACACGCGGAGGGAAGGGGCTGCTTGGTCTGGAGCCAGGAGCCACACTGTGTGATCTACCAGGGACCCTGTGCCCCCCAGGGCCTTGGGCTGGTGATGCCACAGGCTTAGTCAATGTGCTTGTTGGCATAGAAGCTAGGGATCTGCCCATAAATTATCTCACTCCGTCCTTGCAGCTGTGAGGGTTAGGGAAGAAAAGCCCGTAAGAAGGGGAGGCGGAGAGCAGTCGGGGGACTTGCCCCAGGCTGGGGTTTTAGGTGGCAGAGGCAGGATCAGAACCCCGCTCTGAACAGAGGACCTTTCCACTCTGCCAGCATCACTGATTTCAGGTCTGGAGGCTGGCATGGCAGTGGCTGGGAGCCGTCCCCTGTCCTGTCCTGTGCTCCCGATCCTGAGGAGCCTGGGGTTTGGGGCAGGGGGCGGGGACTGTCACCTCTGCCTTCAGCCGCTCGATCTCGATCTCCCCATCCTCGATCTGCTGCCGCAGCTGCTTGGCCACCGTCTTCTCCGTCTCCACGATCTGCAGGAGGTGCAGGTACTTCTGCATCAGAGCCTCGTGCTCGGTGGCCAGGGTCCGGTAGCTGTGGACAGGTGGGGGTGGCAGGTGAGACACGGCCAATTTGGGGCCACCCTTGGGATCCCTAGGGACCAAACCAGAGTGGGGCTCACTACCCACTGCCCTCGGGATAGGACCCGACTCCCAGACGCAGCATGTGTCTGATAACCTGGTCTCCGTAGCTGGTGTGGACAGACAGCCCTTGAGGACAGGGATGGAGACAGCCTGACCTCAGGGCCACAGTCAGTGCTGTGGCTGTCATAAAGGGCTTCTGGCGGGCTGGCTTGACCCAAAGGTCAAGGAAGGGCCATAGAATCCATCTGTCCATCAATCCTTCCTTTCATCCATCCATCCTTTCAACACCTGTTCATCAATCATTTATCCACCCTCCCTTCATCTTCTCTATAGCATGGGCCCTTGCGTCCATCCTCAGTCCATGCCTCTATCCTTCAATTCTTCTGCCTGCCCCCCTTTGCTGAGCATCAGGCCCTGGGAATGCCCAAAATTGCATTGGTCCCCACCCCACACTCTGTGGGGAGACAGACACAGAAACAGCAATATCCACTGAGCCAGGAAGATCTACCACTCAGCAGGATGCGCCTGGGTGTCCCAGCCCCCAGGCAGCCCTCAGCTCTGCAGAGGGATTATTTGGGGTGCTAGCCCAGGACCCCTAAGACTCAGTCCAGCCTAGAGCCTCCATCCTCTGCAGGACACACTCTTGCCCTGCTTTTCTGCCAGGGACTGGCAAGTCTCCCTCAGGAAGGGGTCCATGCTGCAGGGCCCCCACCCCCTGTGTCAGAGCGCAGAGTGACATAAGGATTCCAGTCTGCAGGGCAGAGGCCTGGAGGCAACACGGGACTGGTTTTGTGGCCGAGCAGCCGGCTGCATACAGCTCATACAGCTCAGAGCAACCCTACACTGCGTCCATAAAACCCATCACCCAACCAAATGGCGCTCAGTTTCCCTGACAGGAACACAGGAGCGAGCCTGGGTGAGGCAACGCCGCTCCTCACGGCCTCTCCTTCCCTGCGGCACCCAGGGAAGTGACCCTGAGCTCCTGGGCTCTGAGGGAGACCCCGCCAAGCTTCCGTCCCCGCTCCTCTCCTCCACCACACCCCCCCTTCCAGAGGTGTGGGCTCGCTGCATCGGGCCCCGGGTTCCGTTTCTGTGGCCTGGACCGTGGGGCAGGGGATGTACCTTGCGTGAGCAATTGCCGCCACCCACTCGTCACAGTCCTTCGCATCCTCTGTCCTCAGCTCCAAGGCCTTCTGGTTCTCGTGGCTGAAGTTAACCGTGAAGTAATGCTGCATGGACAGGAAATCTCTGGTTACCCGGGGTGTCCGCGGAAGCAGCAGCACCTGTCAGTGGGGCTGTGTGCAAGGCGCGGGCCACCACGTCCGCTGGGCGCGGGTGCCTTTGCTGTGGTGGTCGGAGCGTTGAGCTACTTAGCGCTCTTGGAGTCTTGATTAAGGTGGGCTTTGTGTGGTGAAGCAGAACCTATGCTTAGGGTATAGTGAGAGTCCACAACGCCCTGATCGCCAACAAACTGCAAAGCCAGACAGTTTTCTGCCATCAGGTGCGCTGCAGGGAAAACACGAGGAGAGCCTCCCAAGGTACCCAGTCGGTGCAGCACGCGTTTAAGTCACCCCCTGAATTTACCCAGCACTCTTCCAGATCCTGGGGGCAGAGTGGGGAAGAGACAGACCCCGTCCCCAGGAGCGACCCCGGAGGCCACCTGTGTTGCATGCAAGTGACTGAGGTAGAGCTGGTTGCCTGCTGGCCTGTCCCCCAGGCTCCCAGGGAGCAGACACACACCTGTCATGGTGTTAGGTGCGTTAATGCGTGTAAAGCGCTTAGGACGATGCCCCAGGCCTGGTATGTGCACGGCTGCCATCATTCCTGGGGTGCAGCAGCCTTTCAGTGCAATGGAAGTGAGGGGCTTCCCAGAGGACCAGCCTTGGTCCAGGGGGCCAGAACCAGGCTGGGCAGGGGGACAGGGCAGGGTGGTGAGCTGAGCAGAAGCAGGCTTGAGCCAGAAGGATGATTCCCAGGTTTCCGGCTGGAGCACCTAGTTTGGGGGTGAGGGGTGAGGACATCGGCAGGACGAAAGGCAGATTTACAGGGTCAGGCAGGAGTGAGGTGGGGCATGGGCTTGCCATCCTGTGTGCTTGTGGGCCTTGGCTCTCCAGGCTGCAGAATGGGCTGAGGGAGCAGCCTCGGGTCGAGAGGGAGCTGGAGAGGCATCAGGGAGACAGAGGGTGGGCGGACACCACACAGGGGGCAGCCTGTGGAGGCCCCCCGGGTCTGATCCTGGAGAAACCAGAGGAGCTGGGCAGGCAGGACCCTCGAGCCTGACCACCCAGAAGAGGTCCCGGCGCAGCCCCGCCTCCCTCTGTCTCTGGGTGTCGGGGCGGCAGGGCGCAGTGGTACAAGGTGGGGTGTGTAAACTATTTTTAGCTTCTGCTGACATTTACTGTATTTCTGTTAATTGTCAGTCTGGCTGGCAGCCAGGGTGCGTGTGTGCGTGTGTGCGTGTGTGTGTGTGTGTGTGTGTGTGTGGGTTGTTGCAGTCAATGTCTCTCACTTGTTTCCTAGGAAACAGATAAGTGGGGCCGAGGAAGGAAATGTCAGCTGCAGCCTCAAATAACTGGATTCAGGAGGCTCCGGTAGGCACCCCTGTGCCTCGAGACAGAAGCAGGTGGAGAGGGCACCACAGGTGGGTGCCTAGCACTTCCCCCTCTCAAGAGAGGACGGGCTCATGCGTGTGTGTCTCCCAGGATCTGTTTATTCCCACATTCCCCAGCATGGACATGTATTAGCACCCATTTTGCAATAGATGAACCTGAGGCTCAGAGAAGCTGAGCCACCTGCTGAAGGCCACACAGGTGGAAGGCAGAGCCGGGATCACAAAGCTTCACTGAGCACCAACTGTGGGGTCCGGCCCTGGATTTGGCACTGGGGTGTGAAGGTGAAGGAGCCTGTGGCAGGCGAGACACAAGGACAGGGGCGGGGTTCCCAGGGCAAGTGTGAGCTCCAGGTAATGACAGTGGGGCAGGGGTGGGCGAGGCTGAGGGGCGGGACAGGTTTCACCTGGGCCTGGGAGACTCAGGTGGGCATTTTCTCCTTGAGTTCCATTCATAACCACCACAGCGGTCCCAACGGAGTCCCCTCTTTCTCGGAAGCCACTCTGAACGGGCTCCTGCTCCTTCCCATGAGTGATCCCCCTCAGGACACACTGCCACGTCACAGGAGCTGGGCTTATTAATTGACTGACAGCAAAAGCCACAAGCAGGTGACACTGCATCGGCTTTCCAGAGCATGGGTGGTGACAGGGACCTGGGGGGGTGGGGCACTGGCTGCTCACGAACCACGTCTACGACCCTTCTGGGACAGTGGGAGGCGCGTTCCCGCCGTGGAGGCCAGGAGCTCCCCTGTGGTGCAGGACCCTTTTTCCAAGTCGGCTGACCACAAAGCCCTCTGTTCCTTGGAAGATCTGGCAACATCCCATCAGACCAGTGTTACGGGGAGTCCCCTCTGGGATTTGCATTTAAATTTATTATTTATTATTTAGACCTGGGGCCTCCGCCCTCTCTCTTTACCTCTGTATTTCCTTTTCCACACAAGGCAGAAGACACGCCCACCTCACAGGGTTGTGCAAAGCAGACGGTGTCGCAGCAGCCCCTGGGTTGCAGAGTGCTCAGGGATGGTCTGTGAACCCGTGGGGTTGTCTGCACCGTCCAGGTGCTGGGTGGACTCAGCCTGCCTGCATGTGCACTCACACGTGTGTACACAGAGTCCCCTAAAATCCACATGTACCTGGCACCTGCGAATGTTTGAAAACCCGGTCTTTGCAGACGGAAGCAAGTCAAGATGAGGTCACAGTGGGAGATGCGACATGCAAGCAGGGAGGCAGGTGTGGGACGGCTGCGTCTGCGGGTCGCGTGATGCCTAGGGTGGCCCGAGACCATCGGCGCGGGGACAAGCAGGAAAAACTGTCTTCCAGAGCCCTTGGGCCTCTAGAACTGTGAGTAAATTTTTGCTGTTTTAAGTGAAAGGAATCAAAAACTCTACCACAGATGAGGCTGCATACACACATGATGCAGCTGCCGCTGTGAGGGCGAGGCCTGGAGAGACTGATAAACCGAATGAGGCTTGTGCTCCGGTCAAAGGGTTCTTGCCCACCAGCAGTTTCTGGCCATCTTTACATTAGCCTCAGCTCTGGTTTCTTTCTCATTCCTGATGTCCACTGGCCGCCAAGTCCTGTGCTGTTTAACATCTCTGGACTCTGCCTCCGCTGTCCTCACTGCCACTCCCTGCCTCAGAGCTCCTGCATCTCCCGCCTGGATCATGAAACAGCTCCCCTCTGGTCTCCCTGCCCCTGGGTTTGTTAATCCAGTGTGGCTAGAATCTGGACCCACTGAGCCCCTGGTCACGGTGCCCTCCAAAGGGGGAGGCTTGGGTGCTGGCCCTCGTGGTCACCCTCACCCCTTACTGTGTCCCACTCTGGTGCCCTGGTCAGCTAGGGCCAGCTTCTCTGGGCTGGGTCCTGCCTGCTCCCTGCTGGCCATCTTTGGGGGTGCGGTCCCAGCTGTCATCCTCAACCAGTCCTCTCTACCTCATGCTGCCTGATATCCTAGTGGACAGGAGCCATGCTAGAGAGAACCTGGCAGGATGCCAGCTATGTGTGCACACTCATGTTTGCATGCTCACACTTATGTTTGCACTGCCCTGGCCTGGAGTCTATCTTTCCCCCTTCTCCCTCAGTAAGGGGCTGTCCACCCAGGCTCCTCCTCACGCCTGCACAGCCTAGGTCCCCTCTCTACCTCTCACCCTGAGGATCCCAGGGAAGCCACTCTGTCCTCCAGCCCTTGTGGGGAGAGGTCCCATCCTGACCCAGGCCAGGCCACCCCTGGTGTGTCTTCTAACCTCTGTCACCGCTTCTACAGCAGAGTGTATGCTCCTCAGCCATGGGCTCCTCCCAACCCGGATGCACCACCCTCATCCCCTTGAAAAATACTGTACCCAGGGAGGCACACAGTGGGGCCTCCCTAGGTACAGTATTTTTCAAGCGGTCCTGCTCCATGGACGTGCTGGTCTCTGCTGGCCCCACTGGTGCTTCTGTACCAATCCAGAGAGGCATGGCCTGCCTGCACCCTCACTATAGCCCTCACCTGATGTGGCTACACAGGGGGCTGCACCCCACTTAACAATCCTCTACCCCCGGCTACGAGTGGCCTCATTCCACCCAGTCTGTGTCTCTCAGTTCTCATGTCAGCGACTCCCCAGGATTCTCTCCGAAAGCTGAGTGCCTGCCTCGGGCCCCTGTCCCGCTCTCAGTCTCCCCTGGGGTCTGAGCCACGTGCAGCTCTGTCCAGTCACCCTGCCCAGGGCTGAGTCCTGTCACCGGGAGTGACCCACTGCACACCTTACACTCACGGGTGCAGCCAAAGGAGGTGCGAAGAGTGATGTAAGTTCAGAACGGAGAAGCGTGGAAAGGGAGCCTGCCCTCAGAGTCAGGTGAGGTCACACTGGGAGGAGATATGACACCTAAGCAGGGAGGCAGGTGTGGGACGGCTGCGTCTGCAGGTCACGTGATGCCTAGGGTGGCTCTCAACCATCAGGGCTCGACCCACAGCCCAGGGCCTGCGTCAGCACCGCACTCCGAGCTGCTGACCCATCTTGGCCTTTGTGGGAGCTCCTCCAGACCACAGACATCACACGGGGCTGGTCCTGCACGCACCTCGTTCCGTCTGTCCTCACCACGCACCAGCCTGCCCCTGACCTTCCCACCAGCCACCTCTCTGATGTTTGCTGGATGAACTTGTCTGATACATCTGCCCTGTAGCTTCTCTTTGTAAAAACAAAAGATGTCATTTATTCACTCTTCTACAGTTAATTATAAAAGGCTTTTATTTTAAGGCCTGAGTTAGATTTCCCAGTCTGGAAAACCTAAGAACTCAACTGGGAAGTATCTTTTTGAAAATAATTATCTCGCTTTTCTGGGGAAACAGGTTGTATTCACTTTGTCGGATTAGTAAGATCTAGTCTTTAATGTATTAACTTTCCGAATGTAATAGCCTGGATGTCCACTGACTTTAACGACCCAGAACTGGAGGCCTGGCTCAAGTTCTGACCCTGGCATTGACTCACAGTGAGAACTCGGGGCCCGGAAGAGACCGTCACTGAGCTATCTGTTCAGAGATGAGCCCTATCCAGCTGAGCATCGTGTGCCAGATGAGGAGCCTCGCTCCCCAGGTCCCACAGCTACTGGGGTGTTACTGCGGTATCGATCCAATGTGCTCGG